AACCCACATCACACAGCTCTCTCCACTCTTCTCAAACATGACGACCTCCCCCTGCCTCCCCCCTCCCCCCTACACACAGGTGTAATCATGTTTTAGCTTGTGATAAAAGGGTGTTGTGAACCCACATCACATAGCTCTCTCCACTCTTCTCAAACACGACAACCTCCCTCCCCCCTCCCCTCCTACACACAGGTGTAATCATATTTTAGCTTGTGGTAAAAGGGTGTTCTGAACCCACATCACACAGCTCTCTCCACTCTTCTCAAACATGACGACCTCCCCCTGCCTCCCCCCTCCCCCCTATACACAAGTGTAATCATATTTTAGCTTGTGGTAAAAGGGTGTTGTGAACCCACATCACACAGCTCTCTCCACTCTTCTCAAACACGACAACCTCCCCCTGCCTCCCCCCTCCCCCCTATACACAGGTGTAATCATATTTTAGCTTGTGGTAAAAGGGTGTTGTGAACCGACATCACACAGCTCTCTCCACTCTTCTCAAACACGACAACCTCCCCCTGCCTCCCCCCTCCCCCCTATACACAGGTGTAATCATATTTTAGCTTGTGGTAAAAGGGTGTTGTGAACCCACATCACACAGCCTTCTGCACTCTTCTCAAACACGACAACCTCCCTCCCCCTCCCCTCCTACACACAGGTGTAATCATATTTTAGCTTGTGGTAAAAGGGTGTTGTGAACCCACATCACACAGCTCTCTCCACTCTTCTCAAACACGACGACCCCCCCCCCCTATACACAGGTGTAATCATATTTTAGCTTGTGGTAAAAGGGTGTTGTGAACCCACATCACACAGCTCTCTCCACTCTTCTCAAACATGACGACCTCCCCCTGCCTCCCCCCTCCCCCCTATACACAAGTGTAATCATATTTTAGCTTGTGGTAAAAGGGTGTTGTGAACCCACATCACACAGCTCTCTCCACTCTTCTCAAACATGACGACCTCCCCCTGCCTCCCCCTCCCCCCTATACACAGGTGTAATCATATTTTAGCTTGTGGTAAAAGGGTGTTGTGAACCCACATCACACAGCCTTCTGCACTCTTCTCAAACACGACAACCTCCCTCCCCCTCCCCTCCTACGCACAGGTGTAATCATATTTTAGCTTGTGGTAAAAGGGTGTTGTGAACCCACATCACACAGCTCTCTCCACTCTTCTCAAACACGACGACCCCCCCCCCCCCCTATACACAGGTGTAATCTTATATCAGCCGGTGGTAAAAGGGTGTTGTGAACCAACATCACACAGCTCTCTGCACTCTTCTTAAACATGACGACCCCCCCCCTGCCTCCTATACACAGGTGTAATCATATTTTAGCTTGTGGTAAAAGGGTGTTGTGAACCCAAATCACACAGCTCTCTCCACTCTTCTCAAACACGACGACCTCCCCCTGCCTCTCCCCTCCCCCTATACACAGGTGTAATCTTATATCAGCCGGTGGTAAAAGGGTGTTGTGAACCCACATCACACAGCTCTCTCCACTCTTCTTAAACATGACGACCCCCCCCCCCCTGCCTCCTATACACAGGTGTAATCATATTTTAGCTTGTGGTAAAAGGGTGTTGTGAACCCAAATCACACAGCTCTCTCCACTCTTCTCAAACATGACGACCTCCCCCTGCCTCCCCCCTCCCCCCTATACACAGGTGTAATCATATTTTAGCTTGTGATAAAAGGGTGTTGTGAACCCACATCACACAGCTCTCTCCACTCTTCTCAAACATGACGACCTCCCCCTGCCTCCCCCCTCCCCCCTATACACAGGTGTAATCATATTTTAGCTTGTGGTAAAAGGGTGTTGTGAACCCACATCACACAGCTCTCTCAACTCTTCTCAAACATGAGGACCTCCCCCTGCCTCCCCCCTTCCCCCTATACACAAGTGTAATCATATTTTAGCTTGTGATAAAAGGGTGTTGTGAACCCACATCACACAGCTCTCTCCACTCTTCTCAAACATGACGACCTCCCCCTGCCTCCCCCTCCCCCCTATACACAAGTGTAATCATATTTTAGCTTGTGATAAAAGGGTGTTGTGAACCCACATCACACAGCTCTCTCCACTCTTCTCAAACATGACGACCTCCCCCTGCCTCCCCCCTCCCCCCTACACACAGGTGTAATCATGTTTTAGCTAGTGGTAAAAGGGTGTTGTGAACCCATATCACACAGCCTTCTGCACTCTTCTCAAACACGACAACCTCCCTCCCCCCTCCCCTCCTACACACAGGTGTAATCATATTTTAGCTTGTGGTAAAAGGGTGTTCTGAACCCACATCACACAGCTCTCTCCACTCTTCTCAAACATGACGACCTCCCCCTGCCTCCCCCCTCCCCCCTATACACAAGTGTAATCATATTTTAGCTTGTGGTAAAAGGGTGTTGTGAACCCACATCACACAGCTCTCTCCACTCTTCTCAAACACGACAACCTCCCCCTGCCTCCCCCCTCCCCCCTATACACAGGTGTAATCATATTTTAGCTTGTGGTAAAAGGGTGTTGTGAACCCACATCACACAGCTCTCTCCACTCTTCTCAAACACGACAACCTCCCCCTGCCTCCCCCCTCCCCCCTATACACAGGTGTAATCATATTTTAGCTTGTGGTAAAAGGGTGTTGTGAACCCACATCACACAGCCTTCTGCACTCTTCTCAAACACGACAACCTCCCTCCCCCTCCCCTCCTACACACAGGTGTAATCATATTTTAGCTTGTGGTAAAAGGGTGTTGTGAACCCACATCACACAGCTCTCTGCACTCTTCTCAAACACGACGACCTCCCCCTGCCTCTCCCCTCCCCCTATACACAAGTGTAATCTTATATCAACTGGTGGTAAAAGGGTGTTGTGAACCCACATCACACAGCTCTCTCCAATCTTCTCAAACATGACAACCTCCCCCTGCCTCCCCCTCCCCCCTATACACAGGTGTAATCATATTTTAGCTTGTGGTAAAAGGGTGTTGTGAACCCACATCACACAGCTCTCTCCACTCTTCTCAAACATGAGGACCTCCCCCTGCCTCCCCCCTCCCCCCTATACACAGGTGTAATCATATTTTAGCTTGTGGTAAAAGGGTGTTGTGAACCCACATCACACAGCTCTCTCCACTCTTCTCAAACATGAGGACCTCCCCCTGCCTCCCCCCTCCCCCTATACACAAGTGTAATCATATTTTAGCTTGTGATAAAAGGGTGTTGTGAACCCACATCACACAGCTCTCTCCACTCTTCTCAAACATGACGACCTCCCCCTGCCTCCCCCCTCCCCCCTATACACAAGTGTAATCATATTTTAGCTTGTGGTAAAAGGGTGTTGTGAACCCACATCACACAGCTCTCTCCACTCTTCTCAAACATGACAACCTCCCCCTGCCTCCCCCCTCCCCCCTATACACAGGTGTAATCATATTTTAGCTTGTGGTAAAAGGGTGTTGTGAACCCACATCACACAGCTCTCTCCACTCTTCTCAAACATGACAACCTCCCCCTGCCTCCCCCCTCCCCCCTATACACAGGTGTAATCATATTTTAGCTTGTGGTAAAAGGGTGTTGTGAACCCACATCACACAGCCTTCTGCACTCTTCTCAAACACGACAACCTCCCTCCCCCTCCCCTCCTACACACAGGTGTAATCATATTTTAGCTTGTGGTAAAAGGGTGTTGTGAACCCACATCACACAGCTCTCTCCACTCTTCTCAAACACGACGACCCCCCCCCCCCCTAATACACAGGTGTAATCTTATATCAGCCGGTGGTAAAAGGGTGTTGTGAACCCACATCACACAGCTCTCTGCACTCTTCTCAAACACGACGACCTCCCCCTGCCTCCCCCCTCCCCCTATACACAGGTGTAATCTTATATCAACTGGTGGTAAAAGGGTGTTGTGAACCCACATCACACAGCCTTCTGCACTCTTCTCAAACACGACAACCTACCTCCCCCCCCCCCTCCCCTCCTACACACAGGTGTAATAGTTTATTTGTAAAGCGCTTAGAGACATTTGTATTAAGCGCTATATACAAATTAAATATTATTATTATTATTATCTTATATCAGCTGGTGGTAAAAGAGTGTACCTGTACTCACATCACACAGCTCTCTGCACAAGAAATGGTCTTTTACCCTATAGAAGACTGAACACTTGGGGCAGCATAATCAAAAGTTATAGGTTTGTAGCTTATATCAAGATTCACCTCTACACAAAATTTGAAAGAAATCTGTCAAGAAATGTGGCAGTTAGAGCGCACAAAAGACAGCCACCAAAATATGGCCTTTTACCCTATAGAAGATGGAACACTGGGGGCAGCATCACCAAAATCTGGAGGCTTGTAGATTACACCGAGATACACCTTAGTTTAAAATTTGAACAAAACGCCTTGCAAAATGTGGCCTATAGAGCGCACACAACTCAACCATCCACAAAAATATGGCCTTTTACCCTATAGAAGACGGAACACTGGGGGCAGCATCACCAAAAGTTATAGGTGTGTAGATTATACTAAGATACACTTCCACACAATATTTGAAAGAAATCTATTAAGGAATGTGGCAGTTAGAGCGCACACAAGAATATGACGCAGCAGACGTTGAGGCGGCGGCGTAACGCTGCTGAATCCAAAGTACCCCACCGGCATAATGCCGGGGGATACAATAAATACTTAAACACAAAATGCACAAATCTCTCTCCAGAATTTTAACAACATATTATCATTGGTAACTCTGAGTAATTAAAACTGTTTTAACATGTTTCTGAAAGGTTTCTAGGCATTGAATGTTTTGAATGGCACTTGGCAACTTGTTCCACAGGACTGGTGCAACATGCACAGATGCACGGTCCCCATAATGGGTGGTTAAGGTTCTGGGGACATCTAGGATGGTAGAGGCAGAAGAACGGAGTATAAATTAGTAGAACAGGATGAAATAGAAATAAATAATTGGATAATGACAAGGATAGAACTGTAACAATCTCACCTGCTGGCAGTAATCCTTTTGTGAATGACAGTCTCAAGCTTCTTGAGTTGCTCTGTTGGTAGCTTGGTGTAGAGCAGATCAAGGACTCGATTCGTCTGGATAACACAAGCACAAAAGAGGGGGAAGAAACGAGGGACAGGGTGAGTGTTCCAGAGGCTTAATAATGGTAACAAGATATTATAAAGCATGATATTGAACAAAATGATCTGTTTTTAACATTTTTGTAAAAATTTAATATCTTACAGGATGCTACAGATGAAATAAATTACCACACTAAAGTTTATTCATAGATTAAGTTGCTGAAAATGTAATAACAGAGATATACTGTACAGCACTGATATACAGATAGATACAACAATTACAGCAAGTAATTCCTCAATATCTAGGATAGAACTACAAATGATAACATCATTTAATGTAATATAAGACAGTGAATTCATGTATTTCCTAGATACTGACAATGAACACTTACAGTCTGTGGAAGAGCGTTCATGATGACAGTGTCGGCCATGTTGAATCCCAGAGAAGCTGGTTTCAAGACACATCCACACAGAATCTCAGCAAACAGACCAGTCCACAGCTTGGAGGGAATCACCTAGAATACAATGAAGAAATAACAATCAAAGAGAGACGTTTACATCCTTTGGAGATATCGGCTGTTCAGAGCTAGAAGAGCATTAACTTTAGAGATAATTTCTGTTTGGTGTCAGAAGGGCAATAACTCTTTGTTAAAGGATATGAGTTAATGCCATTCTGGCTACAAACAGACAATATAAAAAGTGTGATATATTGTTCACAGTCTTCAAGAAATTACTGAGTATATGTATCATGTACATGCATAAGGCCTACAAAAAAAAGATGTTGTATTGCCCTTTGCGACAGACCCAACATTTTTGAAATCCCCGGTCTGCTTTTTTTTTTTTTTAACCGTATTTTAGAGTGATACACTGTATAGAGAAATATCAGCTCAAAGGGGGAAAAAAGAACAAAAAAGTTATACAAAAATAACAAGATTTCAGACTGACCTTTTTTTTTTTAAAGGCCTAATTGGGCTTCTGTTACATAAAATTGTCTTCGGAAATTCAGCTCACTTTCGAATCCCTTGGGATATCTATCTCATGATAAATACAATGAGGCACAAGGAGATCATTTGCATGACACATAAAGAGTTGAAAATCTAACCTCCAGTGCTTCCTTGGTATGGGAGCCCAGCATGGCACCCATGAAGTAAAAGAGACGGATGATGACGGTACACTTGGTACGATTGTAGTCTTCTTCCTCCCTGGGGGTAAAGGCCGTTTCCATGGAACCACACCCCTTTGCGAAGGCAAAGAGATCGTATTGAGCCACCTTCATGAAGGAGTCAATGGTCTGGAATAGGACACTCTTTTTGCCTTCTTTAATGGCTACAGAGAAGGAAGAAAAATATTGTCTGTTGACTTGGGAAATAATTTAACTCACAAATTTTGTTAATGAAATCATAGGTTGTGTAGTTTCTAGTTTCTAGTTGAGAAACTAGTTATCTATTTTGCAAACAGTCGACGAAAACGGTCTCATTTTAATCAAAAAACATGTACATACAAATGAGTCACAAAAAATGCGTATTTCAGAACAAGGATGGACCCAGGTTCTTGTAAAAAGGGGGGGGGGTTAACATTTATTAAAATTACAATAGGGTGTACTAAGTTTGATATATTCTGTTGATGTTGTGAACTTCAAGTATGAGAAATCGTTTTCAAAGGTGATGGGCACAGGTCGTTTGTGCTCTCAACTCTGAATCTGCCACGGTTTCAAACCTCAGCCTTCACAGTTCACAAAAATGACACTTTTTGAAGAATTTTTTGTCTCCTATGGTGTTCTTCAGCATTCTTCAGAATTTCCACTTACTTTTGAAGACAGCTGCTGGTGTGAGTAGACTTTCCCCCAGGACCCAGACGTAGCAGTCCAGTGCAGCCAACAGGTACTCAAGCCAAGTGATGGTTGCTTTCACAGAAAACTGCTGTTCCACGGAGGCTAGGGTGGGCTGTTTCTGTATACCACTCTTATGACCACCTCCCTCAAATCTAAAATAGGTGGAAAGTAACAGACGTTGCATGTACATGTGTAGGCTGGATGCATTTTTACGTTTCAATAAGATCAAGCCAAAAAATATGTATGTCTGTTTTAATATCACTATATTTATAATAACCATTATAAAAAAAAAAGTAGTACAGTATATACAATAATCCAGTTCGTAAATACTATCTGCGCATGGGCAGATAAAGGTAAATTGTTTCCAAATTGTAAAGCCCATCGAGACGAATAATGGTATCATGCTTATGAAAGTTATGTTATCAGTATTCATTTACGCACCGACAGTACATTTATCTCATGCACTGCAGAAACATGGACACTAACATCAAAAATGGAAAGAAAGCTAGCAGCATCTCAACACAACATGGAAAGAAGTATTCTAAGCATCACATCCAAAGACAGAAAAACAAACAAATGGATCAGGGAGCAGACAAAAGTCCAGGACATCCTTGAAACAGTGAAAAGAAGGAAATGGAATTGGGCGGGCCACATCAGCCGTAGGAATGATAATCGCTGGAGTTCAGCAATCACTCTTTGGACACCATATGAGAAAAAACGAAACAGGGGACGTCAAAGAAAAAGATGGAGAGATGAGCTGCAACAGTACTGGGAAAAGATTAACTGGCACAAACAGGCACTGAACAGAGACATTTGGAGACAGCATGCTGAGGCCTTCATCCTGCAGTGGATCGATAATGGCTGAAAAAGTAAAGTAAGTACATTTATCTGATACACAGGTGGAAGTATTCTTCTCAAGAGGCATATAAAAGGTATTCATGATTAACCTCCATCACTTCAGCAGTGATTATTTTAAAATGCACAAGTGGGACGCATCCATCTGTATATTTTGGGGTCATGCGTTACGAAGCCATTTAGGAACTGGTTTATTGAATGAGAAATTACCATTACCACAAACAAGCTTGTTTGATCTACGAAAATTTCTAGTAAATTTCATTTACGATAATTTTCAGAAACCTAGTGGCACAGATAATGTTTCCTTGTGTTCCTCTGTGGATGAGACATGCTAATTCCTACTTTATTATTTTCTAAATTCCATTGAATCTACCTCCTACAAAGATTACCTTCCAACAAAATACTCAGCACCCCTCTCTCTGGCTGTGTTCTGCATCCATGTTGCTGGAGTATTCCGCCCTGGATCACGTAAAAGAAAAACATTAATAGCAAAATAATAACTTCACACTTTCTTTCAACAGTCATTCTCATACTGCTATAATGTGACAGATACCAGTTAAATTATCTCTGTACAAAACCATACAAATTTGATTTCTTTAGAAGTATCATGCTCTCTCTGACCCTGTGCCTTACGTTGGGTTTCAAATTTGTATAAGTTTGTTACCAAGAGATGTTTAGCATAAGAATTTGCGGCTGTAGAGGTACCAAACACATCATTGAGCAAATTTGTCCTTCTGCTGCTAACATGCAGTATGCCAGATATGATGTTCCACCTTCCTTTTCTTCAAAGGCTCTTTTTGTCCACAGATTTCATGAGGCTAAACTGACTGACCTGGTAGGAGTGATGTCAGCCCGTAGACATGAACCATACACTGATGTCTGCATTCAGTCTGGGGACTTCCACATTGGGTCATCAACCACATCACCATGTGACTCAATGTGGGGCTACAGTTCTTTGGTTACCCATTCCCCCTCCCCACCCCCTCCCTATTAGGATTTAAGATACCAGAGGGCTAGCATGACTGACCTGGTAGGAGTGATGTCAGCCCATAGACAAGAACCATACACTGATGTCTGCATTCAGTCTGGGGACGTCCACATTGGGTCATCAACTACATCACCATGTAACTCAGGGTAGAGCTACGGTCCTTCGGTAACCCCTTCCCCCTCCCCACCCTCTCCTTATTAGGATACCTGAGGGCTAGAATGACTGACCTGGTAAGAGCGATGTCAGCCCGTAGACAAGAACCATACACTGATGTCTGCATTCAGTCTGGGGACGTCCACATTGGGTCATTAACCACATCACCATGTGACTCAGGGTAGGGATAAAGTTCTCTGGTAACCCCTTCCCCCTCCCCACCCTCTCCTTATTAGGATACCTGAGGGCTAGAATGACTGACCTGGTAAGAGCGATGTCAGCCCGTAGACAAGAACCATACACTGATGTCTGCATTCAGTCTGGGGACGTCCACATTGGATCATTAACCACATCACCATGTGACTCAGGGTAGGGATAAAGTTCTCTGGTAACCCCTTCCCCCTCCCCATCCCCTCCTTATTAGGATACCTGAGGGCTAGAATGACTGACCTGGTAAGAGTGATGTCAGCCCATAGACAAGAACCATACACTGATGTCTGCATTCAGTCTGGGGACGTCCACATTGGGTCATTAACCACATCACCATGTGACTAAGGGTGGGGCTACAGTCCTCTGGCAATCCCCTGGAGTCCAAATGAGATTCAGTGCATGGATTAAATCAAATGTATTTACTACAAGTACAGTCATGATATTGTACTACAAACTTAGACAAGCTGACATCTAAGTATACTAACAGGAGAACAGACTTAGTAAATTTGTGAAACTGGCACAGATCTGGATTTTCAACAATGTAGCTCTGAATTTAAGATGTCCAGAACTGTCTTATTTTAGATGTTCCCTCTCTCCATTTGCTCACCTGAGATATTAAATACCTCATCTAAATACCTAATTCAGGCATTTTGGGGCAATTTCTTGTTGATGCCTTAGTGACTACCGAATAAATCAACAAGAATACGAGCACTGTGACTGACACAACATCAATAACTTTCTTTGGAAGGCTATCAGACTTACTTACTGGGCTCACTAAGCAAACCTACAAAGAACGTATGTACATCCAGGACACTAACTCTACCCAAGAGTATCTCCATATTCCCTGAATGCTAGAGCGCCTTATCAGGGTAGCTTGGTTAAAGCCAAGGTAATAATAGTACAGCAATTAGACAAATTAGTACTCTATAAATGTTACTATCTTTATTTTTATTTGTATGTTTAAAAGCTAGTCGATTTGGAAAAGAGAAAGCCAATTATATTCTAAGGAAAGAACATCCCATTAATCCCATTTTAAGGATTCCAAACGAATGTCCATGATTCTGGTTTAGACTGTAAGAGTTGCAAAAATACCTTGGCACCCGTCTGTTCTTGCTCTCTTTGTTGAGTAATGCTGCTTTCACACGCATGATTCTCTCTAGATGCTTCAACACTTCTGATCCTTGCTCCTGAGTGCCTGGGGAGGAAAAAATATTTATATTTTTTAAATTTCTCTAATGATTATTTATTATTTATTTATTCATTCATTTATATATTGATTAGTTGAATGTTATGTAGGTCAAATGTGCCAGTGGATAATTAACACTCAAAGAGTTACAGGCATCAAATTCTGTCTACCTTGTTATTAAAATAAAACATGACTGAACAAAGAGGGGCTTGTATTTCTTCCTGAAATTGAAAAGGGTTTCATGCATTTAGATTGTTGATCCCACGATACACGGTTTGTATCAGGGCCAACAACGGATTCAGAATCCTAATCCCAAGCTTGTATCATACATAAAATACACCAGCATTGTAAAGCTTAGTGACACCTGAAAATCAGTCAGCAGTGTGGTGTGTCCATGGATACAGAAGAGCCCTGTTAAGAACAGTTTCTGAACAACCTTTGTTCTTTTCCTCTGTAGACAGCCTAGACCTGATGACTGGCTTAAAGCAGAAAGATTCAATGCCCTTTTTGAATTTTACACTACTTTCTCGACTACATGTTAAATAGGGCTGCGACGAGTAGTCGAATTCTCGAGTACGATTTCTCGTACTCGAATATTCGGCCGCAAAAAAAAAAAAAAAAAAAAAAAAATCCCGGTCACCTGGCACTGTCCAGGCCGATGCTTACCCGTGCCAGGGAGAGCGGCGGCCGCTGGCATGGTACCATCGGTAAAAATGTTTTCCAGCTCAATCACTATCAAACTCGCCACTCAGAAACTGGGCCAAATGTCCGGATTTCAGTTTGGACTTGGAGGAAAATGGATTATTCTGCCATCTTTGGTTTTTAAAACAGCATTGTTTACTGTTATTATTATTAAATCATCCCCTTCAACTGCAACTCGAAATAAAAGTGCATGCGTTTTTGGAGACCGACCTTGGATACCGCTCCTGTGGCATGGTGGTGGCAAAAAAAAATTTAAAAAAAATCAACAAAAAAAAATCTAAAAATCAAAAAAATTATAAAAAAACATGGCGTCCGAATATTTGATTGTAAGCCTGGGAGTGTAATCGGGTACCTCATTACACCGTTGTGCACAGCCTTACACAGCGAAACCCGTATATTAAGACCACTCAAATGAGACCCCCAAAAAGGCCTTTATATACAGGTTGTTTTATTACATGTTTCAACGAGAAAAAATTACAAAGGAAACTAAAAAAAATGTGATCTTTCTATACAGGTGGTCACTGAAGCAAATTTGACTGTATTTAATCTCCCTCATGTTAATTCCTTTACAAAAATGACCTACCAAGAGATTTGTCATCATGATGAGCCAAGGCCAGGCTCTCAACAAAGACTACCAAGAGTTCAAAGGTGAACTGGTCAACAAGAACTTCCTCCTCTCTGCAATAAATCACATAAAGCCATGAGTACACAATTCATACACTGATGATTAAAATGCACAAACTAGAAATGAAACTACTCATCTGAACAATATGCCAGATATTGAACACACTGGAAGTTTCTTAAACCCACTAAAAAGCACCTGTGTTTGATTACATAGCATAGCAGAAGTCAAAAGCAACCAATAATTCACAAAAAATTTATCATTTTGATTGCCCACCAATAAAAAAATTTTAAAAAAAAAATGTTTGTATACGCCCATTTTGAATGAGACTTCTCTTCACAGAAAGTAATCATTATTTGTTGTAGCGGAATATCATTTGACGTAATTTAATTTGTAATTTGTATGTAATAATGCAATTATTGATAATTTGTATGTAATAATTTAGGCCTTATATGTAATTTGTATGTGATAATGTAATTGTATGGATGTAAAAATGTAACCGCATAGAGAATTATCTTCGATAATTATTATGCGCTATATAAATCACAATTATTATTATAGTGAGAATTCAGGTTCAGTTGAGATTTGTTCTTCTTTTGCCATTGCTCATTCTGAGCTTTCCAGACGTAAACTGGCTCTGTGTTACCATGCACTGCTCTTGCTGTTGCTGACAAAATATGACTTTACCTGAAGATGGTGTAGATGCTGTTGAAGGCAAGAGCAGCACCTAATCTCTTGAATGCACTGGGATGTGAAGCCATGGAATAGAGTCGTTTCAAGAGCGACTTGGTGTTGATTGGACTCTTCTCTTGTTGCTAAACAAGAACAAAAATATACAACAGCTGCTTTAAAATCAGGCCATCTAATTAGTTTCAAAACTGAAATCAAATATGAGGTTATAGTGCAATGTGAAACAAAGAAGTTTTAAGAAATTGTTATGATTACTCATATATTTACATTTTGGGGGACATTTAAAAAAAAAAAAAGTCCAAGGGTGTACTAGTCATTGGGAGTTTGGGCCACTCCATATTTGGCCTCGAGCCCAGTTGATGTGAAAGATGGGCAGGTCATATAGAAACTCTCCAACCAAATTTCAGTCTCAGTCTGCCCCTGTCTATTAAAGTCAAATGAACCTTCTATCACATTGAGTCTCTGTCAATGTCATTTTATTGAGAGTCACACATAGAACTCAGTTTGGCTAAATCTTTGAAGAGCTGAGCTAAAAGATGCATATAAAATGGACAGCTATATCTCTAAACCTTTGACAATCCAATCAAGGATATGTACCTTCTTGCTAGTTTGTTTGATGGACCATCTCAAGAACTCACTGATACAGCGAGCACAGAAGTCTCTCAAGGCTGTATCAGTAGGATGGACTATACCAGCCAAGATGGCATTCAGTAGGGTCGACGTCTCATCACTTTCATACTTCTTGTTTCCTGAACGATAAAAAATATATAACACAGACCAGTTTGTAGTTAGCACATGGTACAAATTACCCCAAATTATTCACAGATCTTTTACACATGGAGAAGCCCCAAATTTGAGAATAATCACTGCGAAAGGCTACAGATGGCTCTCCATAATGTTTAATTTAAGTCCAACCTAGAGTTAAGTTTGACTTAGGATCTTTGTGAAACAACCCCCTGATGAATATAATCAAGTATAAGCTTGGAGTGCCCCCCCCCCCAAAACCATACACATAATATCTACTATATTGTACATCTATTCATTCTAAACTTCTAAACATTATCCTTATTCACTCATCCCTCTCCCAAACCATTATCTATTTTTTCAATTGTTTGGTTTCAACAATAACTGAGGCAAATAAAAATCATTTGGTCTATAACTGATTGAAGGACAGACAGCTGTACCTACCAGAGAACCAGTGAATGAGTTGCATGACCAGAGGTTCAAACAGTTGCCTAGCAACCTGTTCCACATCACAAGCTAGCTGGAGAACTGCAGGGAACACCTTCTTGTACAGTTGGTTCATGGGACTCTGGATTTGAAGGGAAAAGCAAAGCATTGTATGAAAGAAATTGAAATGTAAATGAGTTTCAAAACATGACATGCGCTCTGTGAACTTGGGCACAGTACAATGTTTTAAAGGGAGATGGCAGTCAGTTTCCATGTGCAGTAGGTCATGATTCACTTACACCAGACTTGGTGGGAATGCCAATAATACGTGTTCAAATCTTGCACACAACAAATCCGTGGTCTTATCAAGAAATACCCCTAGTCTCTCGAGAGTCAGGGGAGGGGTTAAGATACAGACTTTCCTTCCTCCTCCCTACACTTCCCCTTCCTCTCCCTCTCTCTTTCTTTCTTTCTCTCTCTCTCTTTCATACCCAGGAGGCATGCTACATGAACATTGTCTTGTTCAACAAAGACTACTGAGACCCTACCTTTGTCAAACAAAAACACACCTACCTCTCCCACTCAGTAAGGAAATAATTCAATCATCTCTTAATACCTTTGCCTCTCTCTGATCAGGCTGCTGAGATCCTTTGCCTAGCAAAAGCAGAATACCCGTCCCACTCAGTAAGGAAACAATTCAATCGTCTCCTAATACCATTGCTTCTCTCTGATCAGGCTGCTGAGATCCTTCGCCAATCAAAAGCAGAAACACACCTACCTCTCCCACTCAGTAAGGAAATAAATCAATCGTCTCTTAATACCTTTGCCTCTCTCTGATCAGGCTGCTGAGATCCTTTCCCAAGCATGAAGAGAACCAAGGTATGTAGCGCCTCGCATGCTGCTACCTTGGTCTGTCTGTCACTAGACGTCAAAGCAAGCTCTACGATCCTCGGCAGGAAGGCATCTACGATCAGAAGATAACAAAAATAAAAAAATAACGCCCAAATGTCAACAGTTACCATCCACAGGCATGAAAGTGTACGGTAAAGTTCCTGAAACTTTAATTACAAAGTACACATTCCTTAAAAAAAATCATAATCATAATGTGTATCAAAGCAAGCTCTACTATTCTTGGCTGGAAAACATCTAAAATAAGATAACAAGAACAAATCTCCTTCCCGGTTCAACATTCTATCACCTGCATATAGTATTTAATCATCTTTCTGCATCTATGATTACAGCCATCTTCATCAATAAAGTGATGGTTCAATACAGCATCCTCCCAAGATAATCATTTCACTTTTGCCAAGATGAATAGCCTGGAATATTTAAGTTCTTCTCTCCTTCTTCAATGTCATTCTTTCTTTCTTAGGAGCTCAATTTGTAATTTAGTAAATAAGCTGGAATGAAATCAGGATATCTGAGTTTATTTTAGGCCTGAATTCAAACCAGGAAAATCTAGTGATCCTAAAATCTCACCTAGCTGAATTTCTGGTTTCATATCCACAAATGGTACAGGAAAGTTGAGTCTTGGTTGTGAGTCCCATGCAAGGGCTACGTTAGAGAGCTCCTGGGCGGATGTCTCCAGGAGACCAACGTTCACACTGCCTCCCAGGGAGCCCAGGAGACGAAGGATCTGGAGCTGTACACTCCTCAAAGGTGAATCTTGGCTCTGTGACAAAGTTTGGAATAATGCACATTCATTCATTATACAGTCAAACCTGGTTTAGCGACCACCTGTCTACAAAGACCACATTTTTTCCCCCTTGAAAATAGTTTTCTCATTGAAACCCGTACTTAAGGAACCTGTACATGAAGACCACTTGCCTATAAAGACCATTTTCCTTGTCTCCCTTGGGTGGTCTTTATAGACAGATTTCCCTGTATCTGTCTTCTGTCCATCAGAATAAAAAATGAGACTGCACAAAAAATAGTTGACGGGATAGAGACATACCCTAATTTTGTATATTCTTTGCTTTTACATGTATATCATTGTGTCCACAGCTTTGCTCCACAGTACACTGTTGCTTTGATAAATCATTACATTCCATCTAGATCTTTATGCTCCCAAAACTCTGGATTTCTTGTTCTTCCTAAGCTCAATACTATGGGGAATAACCGTAGTTGCGGGCGTAAAGGCTGCAGTATTTTCAGAAAAGAAAATATCAAAAACTCTGGGTGCAGCCCATATGCGACAATAGTCAAAATCAGGTCCACTCGAACCCTGAATCTGCGGTTCAAGTTCAAGTTCAAGTTCAAGTTCAAGTTTTATTTCAATTCAAGTCCATAAAAAACATATAAGATACAGATTATATACAATATAGAAAACACAAAATACACACAAAATGGAAACATGTCTACAAATATATCGGAATTATAAAAAGTTAAACAGCAATAGAAATGAATTGGGGAAACTGCAAATAAAACCATAAGGTTCTGTCGAGGCAGCTCCCTGTTATTAAAAGATACATATACAACTTCCAACAATTGGCTATAAAAAGTATAACAATAACAAAACAGTGTACAAAACATAGGAGACGTATTAACATGCAAATATTATTATAGATTTAAAAACAGATGAAGTATTTTTTTAGTTTAGATTTAAAAGAGTTTAAGAAAGCAGTATCACGTATATCTTTGGGGAGGGAATTCCATATTTTCGGGCCAGTGTGTCTAAAAGTAAATAAGGAATTTGTTGATGGACATTTTTCAATAAAATAGTTATCAGGATTTCTAGTATTATAATTATGAACATATTTTTTACATTTCATCATAGTGGTAAGATTAATCGGCAGTTTATCAGTTTTATGTTTAAAAACCATGAGTGATATACAATATTGATTCAATTGAAAAATATTTAAAAACTGTAGTTGTTGAAATAATGGTATTGAATGGGCATTGAAATCAGACATAAGACATATTCTTACTATACGCTTTTGTAATATATGCAGTCGTTGTAATCTCGTTGGGTATGTGTTGCCCCATACAACATTACAATACATTAAATACGGTAAAACCATTGTATTGTACAATAAAATCAAAATACTTTGTGGCAAGATATGACGTAATTTGCTGACGACACCAATATTTCTTGAAATTTTGTTTGAAATGGTAAATATATGAGCATTCCAAGTTAAATTTTGGTCAATAATTACACCTAAAAAGCTAGTTGATTGCACTCGTTTTATCGGAACATCATTCATCTTTATATTTAATACATTCAATGAATCAGCTGAAATAATTTTTTGCTTATAATGAAAATATATAAAATTTGATTTAGATGTATTCAAAGACAATTTATTACTATTGAACCATTGCGATACATGCTGCAGCTCATTATTTAAAGTTTGACATAAAATATTAATATCTTTATGAGAATAGAGGATATTGGTGTCATCAGCAAAAAGGACAAATTTCAAAATGTTTGAACAATAATTTAAATCATTTATGTACAATAAAAATAAAAGAGGACCTAAAATTGAGCCCTGAGGGACTCCACACGTGACTTGCATTGGGTCAGATAAAACATTGTTATATACAACTATTTGGTGTCGATTATTCAAATAATTTTTCAACCATGTGTAAGCAACACCTCTTATTCCATAGTAATTCAATTTATCTAACAAAATATTGTGATCTATAGAATCAAAGGCTTTGCTTAAATCTAAGAAAAGACCTACAGTGTGTAATTTATTACTTAAGGAAGATACTAAATAATCATGAACATCAATTATTACACACATAATCTCTATAAATAATTTTCCCTGTTATTTGAAATATTGGAAGATGGTCAGATGCATCATTAAAAAATATTCCCGGGGTTATACATGAAAAAACATTGTTTGTAAATATATTGTCTATAAGAGTTGCACTATTTACAGAAATACGTGTGGGTTTAACAATTAGTGGCAAGAGTGATGAGGAATGTAACATGTCTAAAAAATCAGCACTATATTTATTTGAACATTTTAAAAGATCAATATTAAAATCACCCATAATATAAATTAATTTATTTTCTTTATTAAGTTTTTGTAAACATACATAAACTGCGTTAATAAAGCTTTCTACTCTTGATTGCGGTTTCCTATAAATTATTCCAACAATTATATTTTTTCCAATCTTATTCGTAATCTCAATAAAAAGACATTCATTACCATCGCATTGCAATAAAATATCATTTCTAATTTTAAAATTCAAAGAGTCCAAGACAAGAAAAGCCACTCCTCCTCCTCTACCACTGATACGATCAATATGAATGAATGAATATCCTTCTAAATGAAATAAAATGGGAGTATTACTTTGAATCCATGTCTCCGTGAAACCATAAATAGAAAAAGAGTAACTTAATGAATGAATAAATTCACTTATAGCTAAAAAATTCTTGGATAAACTTCTTGCATTGAAATGTATAATACTAAAATCAGAATCTAATTTTGGTAAAGACATAAATTCATCTTCCAAATAATAATTACTTTCAACAATATCGTCCTGTAAAAAATCATCGTCATCATTGTCACACGCTGGATCACATTCTAAAGAATGTTTAAATGTATTTTTAAATTTATTTATATCAATTTTATGTTCATGCAATGGTGTTGAAAAAATATTCTTAAATTCATCATCGCTCAAATCAGAAAATGGAAACACTGGGTTTAAGCATATGGGATACTGTGCGTCATGTGTATCATCCATGTAAAAGGAGAACATTAAATATGACCATGACAATCCGTCTACATAAAGACAAACAACAAAACATAGGGGTACAATAAATACAGAACATAACAATTAATATACTGTAATAACAAAGTATGTAACAAGTATTTTTGTTAAATGAGGGGGAAAAAAAATTAAATGAAAAGTTCACTCACTTAGTTCAGAATGTGCCTACCCTAACCAGACTTTAAAACTTCCGTAGGTCGTCTTTGCACAAGATCAAGTGTTTTTTGTTGTTTTTGTCAGTCATTAGAATACGCCCATCTCGTGTCCATGCTGCTTTTACTTTCTCAGAGGTTCGTACATGTGCAAGCAGGTCTTGATTTGCTTTCGTCAGATCTTCCTGGATGGACTTCCGCTTACCGGCGAGCTTCCGTCGTTTGGAGATTACTTCCTGGCGCTTTCTATATTAAGTAAACTTCGCGATGATTGGGCGTGGCAGGTTCTTTTCTTGATGTTTCTGCCTGGAGCCATTTTTATGGGTACGTTCCAGATCATCCTTGGAGAGATTGACCTGGAGAACTTCATTTGCCACTTGAAGAATGATGTCATCGGTATCTTCTTCACTGCGTTCCTCGAAGCCAAAGAACAGGAGACAATTTCGCCTGGAGTATTGTTCCTGTTGGTCGAGCTTGCGTTGTAGTGTTTTAATCTGCTCGTGTTGATTTTCAAGTTGGTTTTGGACGTTTGCGATCTCCTTCGACTTGCTGTCTGTTACGATTTCGAGATCGAAGATCCTTGCCTGTTGGGTGTCGATGGTTTCCCTGATGTCAGCTAGTTGTTTATTAACGCGCTCTTCCACTAAGTCGATGAATCTTTTATCCCGAAAGATGTCCTGTATCACTGATGCCAGCAAAGCAGATTTCTCTTTCTCCTTCCCCCTTGTATTCATTTGGGCTTTGTCTGTATCTGCCATGGTAATCGTTGGTTTCGGTAGAGCTGGATTAAATTACCAACAATGAAGCTTAAAGTGTCCACAATAAAATCCTGGGTAGCAGCAGACTGGGGCAATAAGATGATTGTAGTTGACCATCAGCGCTGACAATAGATATGTTCACTTCATGCCTCATTAAACAGCAATACCATGGCATAGAAGTATACTAACTATAGGGTTTTATCGGAAATACGAAAAAGCAGGTTGGAAACGAAATTTTGCGTGTTTGGGACTATCAGCACTTTTGATCCTCTGAGTGGTAGTAATAAACTGAGTCCAAAGTTCACTATTTCACGGATTCGATGCGATAAAACATGCTCCTGGTTGTAGTTTGAGGCTTTAAAAAGCCTTACATTACTAAAGCAAGAGTCAGAAACATATACGGAATGTCAAAATACTCACAAAATAACAGAAAACACAGAGTCCAAAATCATCCAGATTCGCTTCGTTCGTTCGTTCGTTCGTTCTGACCAGCGGTCAAAACAGCACGTATGCGTACATATGGGACTACAATGACTATACCAGTTAATGTACAAGGACATTTCTAGAATAACTCCACACATCTTATCAACAATTTTGTGTTATATTGTTGACACGAAGTTTTGTTAATCTTGTGAATAATCTTCATAACTTATTTTTCAAACAAAAACTATCGTGAGATCCAGATCTAAGTTTGTGCCATCGTAGGGACCGCAACCGAGGCAATACAACTGCGCATCAGCCGTCTGCATGCACGTCTACTTTCTTTGTATCCTTTTCAGGCAATCTTGCATTGCATTGTGGTAGGTAGGGGTATATATCGGCTACCAAAACTGCCTGCAATGTAGTACTAGCTTCAAAATCAAAAAAGATTTGCTAAATTAAGATTAAAATTTATATTAAAAATATGCTACATGTCTAGAATAAAGACTTGGAATGTTGGGGACTAAATTTATTCAATGAAAAATCTGAATTAACCTTCCTTTTGCTATTGCCAACTGATTTTGTCATGATTACAAATACAATACAAAGGAATTTCAGAACTATATACATGGGCTACCATTGAAATAACAGAATAAAACTAATAATCATACTTGTGCCCCTACTTTTGCACATATTATCTACAGAGTGTTTTAAAATGACTCCAATATTTCATATACTCTACTTTGTAAAAAGAATATATTACAGAATAAGAGTAACAAGTAGCTAACCTGATCGTTATCCTTAGCTTTCTTGAGAAGCTTGGAAGGGATGCGTCTCCTTCCGACACGGCTTGATGCTGTCTGAATGACAAGGACCTCAGGTCTGCTGCCCTCATCTTCCGACCCTTGAAAGGCACAACACATCGTACATTAAAAATCAAGTGCATTTTTACCCACCCTGACTGCTAAGGGTAGCTTCTACAGAACACTTTATATGTTTATATGAAATTGTGTTACAGTGACATGATGACTAGACTAACTACGTTTTATCAAGTACACTGAAACATTGAAATTAGAAATAAAGTGTCATTTTACATGTTTATTTTTTCCTCTCATTCTTCGCGATTGGAGCTATTCTTGCATACATAGTGAGCCCTGTGATCTTTGACCTTGTGACCCCAAAATCTAAATCGGTTCATTGGCTCTGCAAGATACATACATGACACAAGATTGGTTGGCGGTAATCCATTAATTGGTTCTTGGTTCACGAGAACGGGATGTACAGACGGACAACCAGAAAACATAATGCCTCCGGCTACTTTGTAGCGGAGGCATAAAAAACTCTGGTATGAAAGGATATATGTGCATCATTCTCCATCCTCCTACAAGTACTTACCACTGCCAGCTCCCAGGTAGCCATCTAGCTGAGGAAGAACCTGGGCATAGTATGGCTTAAGAACATCTGAAGGAATGTATCGGATCCAGGCCTGAAGGGCTGATAGACCAGACTCTGCCAGCGGTAGATAACTCAAACCAAGTTTGAATGCAGTCTACACGATAAAACACACAACAATCAGATCAAAGCATAATATATTATAGAAATCATATCGTATAACAGATCTTGTCATACTCGTCAAACCAAACTTACAGTTCCTATTAGAGGACAGATTATGAGGGAAGATATGTATCTGGGGATAGATTTCTACAAGCAGTATTGAAAAGCAGCATACAGAAAGTATGCCTTGTCATAGGATAGCATTAAGACCCCCAGAAAGAAAACAAATCTGAACATTAGACAATAAAGGTACTATATGGTAAAACTAATATAAATATTGAACACAAATCCTACCACCATATTAAGGCCTACACTAATTCAACAAAGATTTTATTTTTTTCATTTGCTGTAGTGAATTGCACCAATAGTATTTGTACTGATTATAATAAAGGTTTTTATAAGATACCATTGGACCCACAGAGACTACACGTATTATAGTGGCAGAGAAAGAGACAAACAAGAAGAAAGCATTGCATGTAGATAGAATAGAATCTGTGTTGTGTATGTGAAAGGAAGAGAGAGAGAGAGAGGGAGGGAGATGGGGGGGGGGGGGGCGGTGACATTACCTTGAGTGCTGGAATGACATCATGAACCTGATTCTCTACCACCTGATGAGGGAGAGAGAGGATGAGAAAGAGATGGGGGGGGGTGACATTACCTTGAGTGCTGGAATGACATCATGAACCTGATTCTCTACCACCTGATGAGGAAGAGAGAGGATGAGAAAGAGATGGGGGGGGGTGACATTACCTTGAGTGCTGGAATGACATCATGAACCTGATTCTCTACCACCTGATGAGGGAGAGAGAGGATGAGAAAGAGATGGGGGGGGGGTGACATTACCTTGAGTGCTGGAATGACATCATGAACCTGATTCTCTACCACCTGATGAGGGAGAGAGAGGATGAGAAAGAGATGGGGGGGGGTGACATTACCTTGAGTGCTGGAATGACATCATGAACCTGATTCTCTACCACCTGATGAGGGAGAGAGAGGATGAGAAAGAGATGGGGGGGGGGTGACATTACCTTGAGTGCTGGAATGACATCATGAACCTGATTCTCTACCACCTGATGAGGGAGAGAGAGGATGAGAAAGAGATGGGGGGGGGTGACATTACCTTGAGTGCTGGAATGACATCATGAACCTGATTCTCTACCACCTGATGAGGGAGAGAGAGGATGAGAAAGAGATGGGGGGGGGGTGACATTACCTTGAGTGCTGGAATGACATCATGAACCTGATTCTCTACCACCTGATGAGGAAGAGAGAGGATGAGAAAGAGATGGGGGGGGGGTGACATTACCTTGAGTGCTGGAATGACATCATGAACCTGATTCTCTACCACCTGATGAGGGAGAGAGAGGATGAGAAAGAGATGGGGGGGGGGTGACATTACCTTGAGTGCTGGAATGACATCATGAACCTGATTCTCTACCACCTGATGAGGAAGAGAGAGGAAGAGAGAGGGAGGGAGATGGGGGAGGGGGGCGGTGACATTACCTTGAGTGCTGGAATGACATCATGAACCTGATTCTCCACCACCTGATGAGGAAGAGAGAGGATGAGAAAGAGACAAGAGGCGAGGAGGTCATCCTTGTACTGCTTCAGTCGGATCAACACCTCCTTCGAGAACTTGGAAAACAGGATGAAGCAAGCCTGTTTATCAGACAGAGACACGTTGCTAGGTGTGGTCCTGGTTGCTATGGATTCACTATCATCATCCACATCCATGGGTTCTTCTTCGTTCACCTCTGTTCTGAATGTGACATTAGGATTGACTTCCTGGTATCCATGAAACAAATACGAAACACAATTATATCTAAATGCTGTTGAAGGAGCACATGCTAACTAAAGGAAAATTATGAACCAAAGAACCTGCTTCAATAAAAAAGCTCTTATATTGTTAACAACATAAACATCATGAATTCTTGTTGATGTTTCTATGATAAACATAATGAAGATCTTAATACAATTACACTTTCAATGTAACTGTTCACTTCATATCCCTATCTATCCTTAAGTATTACATAATAAGAGTTGTATGCAAAGGAGTATCATATCATAATCTCTCTCGTAACCCTTCAAGTTCAAGTTTCAAGTTTTATTTGTTCCACATTTTACAGAAAATATAAACATACATATAAAATGAAAAATTATACAATATAATTTTAGTATAAATGAGCATGTATCAATGATTCTCAATTCATATAATAGATTAAGTAGAATGCGAGGAACCTATTAAAAAGCAATGCTTGTATGATATAGGTCCCTGAAAAAAATAAGTAATGTAGATGAAAAACAGTAGCAGTAGAGAAAGACGTAATTTAGAGGAGAGAATTTAAAATACAATGAAATTAGGACATTTTTATACAACATAATGCATTAGCACCCATACCCAGAGTCACTCACTTTGAAGAATGCAGTCTTTCTGGACATGGTCATACAGATGGTCAGTAGCTTGTAGAAGCCACTGACCAGTGGAAGTTGGCTGGAGAGCTGGATCAGTTCATGACCAAAGCGATACACCCAAGGATCAAAGAGATGGATCTGCCTTGTTGGTAACAGCTCCCTTGATAGAAAGAAAATAAATGCAAAGAATATCCAAGAATAGCAACATAATTCAAACATACTCGAACCTTTCGTCTTGCTCTCATCAGAGTAAATCGCAAAAATGAACAGAAAACCAAAATCAGTAAATGTACGCGCAAGCCCAAGGGGACAAAGGGCACAAAACAAAACACAATGGGCTGTGATTGTGATGTACTTCGTCGAGTGCATGACACATGATTTAGTATGTCTGTACTCCTTGCCATTCTTTGATTTAAGAGTCAATCATCTTTAAAGATGGAGATGTTGATATCAAACTATGAGTGTAGGAGAAAATAACATATCATGATGGGTACATCATAATAATAATAATAATAGTGGGTTCTTGTATAGCGCTCATGTCAGTCAAATTTGACCCTTCTGGCGCTCCCGATTATTACCCTGGCTTTAGCACGGCGCTCTAGCATTTCAAGGAATAATTTCACTCCACTCCTAAAGCACCAAAAAAAGCACGCTCCATTGGTAATGTGAAAGTCATACAAATAGAACGACTGAACAACAGTAAAAATAAAACATCTCACAGGAGATGTGATCTTACTTGGTGAAATCCACCAGGTTGATGAACACTTGGAAGTCCTTTGGTTTGGTTGGTTGCAATCCCTCTAGAGGGTCAGATGAGGTATTTCCTTCAAGGTCAGAGGTCACACCACCTGATGTCGAAGCCTGTGATCACATGAAAAAATATGAAACAAAATGAAAGGAGATGTAGCAGCTATTTTCACAGCCTTGACAATCCATATGATTTCATTCTCTCCCAATATACTGCTTCAGCATAAATGTATTTCTAAATAAATATACTTTATTATTATGTACTCTTTCATTTCAATGCATGTTAATGTCTGCTTCTGGTACTACACAGTTAACAGTCCAAAGAACTATGTCTAGTCTGGGAGAAAAGGCGTTTATTTCTGCAGCGCCATCTCTTTGGAATGCTCTTCCACTGAGGATTCGATCACTAGAATCCCTAGAAACATTTCAAAAGAATCTAAAGTCATATATGTTCGCATGTTTTTTTTAGTTAATTATATGTTGAATGTACATCTATGCATTTTTCCCCCTTCTCATTTCTCTGTGTATCTCGTTCTAATTCTATCCCTCTGCGCCTTAGAATAGTTTACTAGATCGATGGCACATAATAAATGATGTATTATTATTATTATATTATACTACCAACTAATGTCCAATCATCTGTAATTCTTTCTCACTTCATCCCCCCCCTCTCCCAATCACTCTTCAGTCTCTACCTATCATTCTGCTCTTCTCTGTACTGTACTTCTGCATCACCAGGAACCCCCTAATTATTATTTTTTTTTTTTTTGCTTGTACTTAATTGTCAGGGCTCACAAGGCACAAGCTTTTCTTATCTTGGAGCCCTGGCTGGCTCTGTTTAAAAAAAAAAGAGTTTATATTTCTTCATAAATTTTCAAGTATAGAGATATTATTGTGTATTCAGAACTGAATAAATGAATGAAATGAAAATCTACTGGAAATAAACAAAGTGAATGAATGTACACATTTCAAATTGTGTGATTGGCATATCAATCAATCAAGACCCATTTCTAGTCTCAGGTTGGCTAGGACTAAAGTATGGCCCATAAAATTGGTGTAATAGACCTACTCTGCATATTAAACTGTATCCTACTCCACTAAAAGTAAACTGCCCCTCAACCGGAGAACTGAATGGCCTTTTAAATAATCTTTAAAAAATAATATTACACCAAATCACCTGTATCTATCTCATATTTTTATTTTTTTTTTTAACTCTAAAAGACAATCTCAGATTGCATCAGATGACAGCTCTTAAAGTAGCTCAAAGTAAAAGTCATATTATTTAGACGTTTCTGATCTAATTACTCACCTCTTCTTCATTGTGTTTGTTGGAGCTGAGATCAAGCTTTTTGAGTACCTTCAGGATTCCACCTATCAGCTCATTGTAGATCATAGTGTGGATGTTCAAACGTTCGGCATAGCTCGAGCCATGGGCTTCAGATGTCTTTAAAGACACAGGAGGATAAAAATTGTTAATTAGAATCATGTAGTTTCCACTAACTACACTGTAGGACAGAAAGATCATATTGTTAAATAGTAGTTCTGTTACACAACACTTGTACGAGTGAAACTGTAGACTTTGTGGACTCTCATTATTTTTTTGGAATGTAGATTGTCATTTAAAATGAAAATATTCATATTGAACATGTTTGTATCAAAAGTAAAACTGTCAGTATATTGCATAAACTTAAATATACTGTTCCCCAAAATATGCTGATACTAGTATACAAAGTCCTCATCTTGCCATATCTTAGATATGGTAATATTGTATGGGGTTTAGCTTGTGTATTTAAATGATGTACATGTTCATTCATTGTGTACAACCAATCATTTGATTAGAGTTGTATAAAACAAAGTATGATACAATGTGCCCAACCTTGATAAACTTGCTATCCAGCAGTCTAGTCCATAGATCCATGAAGCTTTTATAGGAGACCCGTCTAGAATCCTGCTCAATCTCCATCTCGTCACTCCTCTGTTCTTCCCCTTCATCACCTCCCTACATACCAAGAAAATAAAGATGATGTTAATAGTCTGGTTTCATATGGCACCTGATAAATCTACAATGTCTTTAAGTGCTTTACAGAAATAATATTACTCCTGTCATTATATACACCGTGCTTTTCTAGCGGGAGCGAACCGTCAGGCACCTATTTACATGTAGAGATGCTGACAATGCTGAACAAACTACAATGACTTTTTCATCCTACCGGGGGGTGTTTCATAAAGCTGTCGTAAAGTTACGCATGACTTTACGAATGACTTAAATATGAAAAGTCAAATGGGATGCTCAATCATTTTTAACTGCATCAACTAAAGTTGAACTGTGCAGATGTAGATTAACATTCTAATAATAACACACATTTTTAAAGCAAAGTATATTTGTTGCCATAATTTAATTGAGGTTATTGAAAATATAGTCACACTTTGGTAAAACATTAGGAACAACTTTTGGCATCCTATCTGGCACTTCATATTCAAGTTGTTTGTAAAGTCATGGGTAACTTTACGAACAGCTTTATGAAACACCCCCAGGTACCCATTTAGCATCTGGGTTGAGAGAAGCACTGTAGATAAAATGTGCCATGCTGGGGGCCAAACCTATGATCTTCAACCTGAGGTCTTCTTATGACATTGTTTTTGAGAGAGAAAGTGTCTAAAGAGTATTCATCTGATAAAACAGTAGTCATGTAGCAAATGAAAATACTAATGTTGGAATCAGCAAATACTACTAGCATCGATTATACAGTCACAAAGGTCATTATTTTAACCAATCTACAGGTGATATTTTTACGTCAAAGACATAAAGAATTTGATCCACATAGAGATAAAGAGTTTAAATGAAACTTACTGATTCCAGGAGAACAGGAAAGGAGCATGTACGGAGGATCCACTGGTAGACTGAAATAGAAAACAGAAAAAGAAATGTAATGTACTGTGACAGTGACTGCTTACAGTTTTGATGATTTAAACATAGTGAATAACAACAAAGATAGCATTATAAAGTACAGATCCACCACCAAAAACAAGATGATTCAATTTCTTTAGGGGGAGGGACATCCAATGAAGGTTAGCATCTGAGCAGTGTACGAGAACATCACAATTGATCCAAGGATCCAATGACTGTGCTAAACCTGCTAGAGAGAGCTCTTGAACACCTTCATCTAATGTCCTTTGGCAAGACATTGATATACATTTGCCACACTCTACCCAGGTGAAGTAAATGGGGACAGGTAGGAAGAAATTCCTTGAACGCTGTGAGCACAGAAATCGGTAGCCTAGCAGAGCCGAGGTAATATTGGAGCGCTTTGAGCACCTTGCCGGGTGGATATGTGTGCTATATAAATATCCAATATTATTATTATTATTAATATCATTATCTACCAGCTCTTATTCTTACACGATAAGGTTTACAACGACATACTGACTAGATCGTCTTACCAACTCTTGAGAGGAACCCTTGCAGGGATGTTCCTTTGGCCGAAAGAGCAATGAGGATCTGTAAGATGGCACTGTGACTGGTCCATTGACTACTCCTAGCCTGATGAGGGTAGCTTCCAAACACCAGTACTACCAACTTCTCCAGGGACGTCAAAAAAGTATCACTCACCTGCGAAAGTAACAAGCATTTTCATGGATTAGGAACAGTAACCCATTGCTTATGGAAACCAATTTGTAGAAGTGTTGAAGTTGAGTGCACTTTACTTGATATTCAAAGGTCGTGGTTCGATCCCCATTAATCAATCAATCAAGGCATTAATCTACATTTGCCACTCAATACCCAAGAAAGAAATGGGGAAAGCATTTGTAATTGCCTATGCACTCAAGGTGACCATATGGTAGAAATACTTCCAAGAGAGTGAAGATGGTGCACATTGTGCGTGAGTGAATGGCCCAAATTCACAAAGGAGGTTTGTCGACAAACATAGGTTTATGTGCGTCATATGATGCGTCTTGGTTTAAAACGCGTTGAAACACGTCATATGATGCACATAAACCTAGGTTTGTCAACAAACCTCCTTTGTGATTTCGGGCCTAAGAGTTTAGTACTCACTGTATCTAATTGTCCCACAATGCTAGCTAGAGCTTCCAAGTATGTGGGTAGTTGGGACAATCTCTCTTCTCCTTGCCTAAAAACAGATAAGGATTAAATATCAATACACCATTACAGAATGATCCTTAAATAGTACATATACATTTGCAGTGGTATTCAATTTTAATAGATAGAAACTGCAAAATATACAAGGAAAAAGGTTTCAAATTCTGACGACCCCTCTTCTGTATATACCATGTCATTATCTGTAAAGCGCTTAGGCACATTGTTGGATCGATGTATTGAGCATTTTATAAACACAGAATATTATTAATATTATTATTATACATCTTAAATTATATGTTGATAAGTATGAATAAATAAACATCGTATCAAATCATATGAGACTACCTCTTCCTTTTTATACATGGAAACTTCTCACAATATCACGAGGCATAACAGCAAGAAAAGAGGAAGATAAGATCTGGGGCCGGTTTCATAAAACTTGTTATCTATAACAAATGCTAAATTTCTATGACAAATTTGCTCTCAGCCAATCAGATGCCATGATTTCAGTAGCTTGTAACAGTAGCTTATAACAGTAGCTTGTAACAGTAGCTTGTAACTTGTTATTGATATCAAGTTTTATGAAACAGGGCCCTGACTCACACAAGAAACTGTTGTTCGCTCCTTAGGATGATCTCATTGAACATGAATCTCACATCAGCTTCTTTCATGAATGCCTTGCATGGCTGATCAATGAAAAAAACATAGAAAAATGAAATCATAAAAGTGAGGACATTTAACACAGAACTTGGAAGTGTTCACTGGCGCCCCTTTCCATGCTACAAGCAGCATATCCTGCCCGAGCATGACATTTGTGTAATATATTGTTGGACGAATAAAAGCTTCATTTAGTTTCTTGAACGATCTCATTAACATAAATCTCACGCAATCTTCTGTCAAAAATGCCTTAGCACAGCTGTTAAAGATATAGAGAAAGAAATCATAGGAGTGAAAACCTCCAATACAGAACTCTTAAAGCATACACTCTGCACATACACAATTTAACATCACAAGCAGCATATCCCGCCCAAGATAAAATTCCTGACTCAAAAGTGAAAGAACTCATTGTAATATTGAATTGAAATGAATTGAATTTCATACTACAAAGTTAAGGGCACAGAAATAGCAATTTTAACCATTAATTCAAGTAGTGAGATATTTTTACTTCATTTTTTCAGCAAATATGACATATTCCGATTATTTTCCGGAAAAACATTGTGAAAAACAAAATGCTTACATCACAACCTTGATGTCATTTCTTCATCTGATATCTGTTCAAGTCTTAATACTGGTCAAGAATGACATTCAAAAGTCACTTAATTTGGCAGCCTCTCCTAACATTGTCAAAATGTGTGTTAAGTGCGATCAATCGTGTAAGAGAAAGTAAATATGTCTGTTTTCTTAAACCTACCGCTGCAAAGACACCATAGCCTCTGATGGCTGTAGAAAGAGACTTTGAAGAGCTGCTTGCATCATCAATGGTACTCCGAAATGACTTGATGAAGTACTACGGAGGTAAAAAGATAAGAAAACATACATCATACCTTCATCACCATCATCGATACTTCATGATCAGGATCAACGACATGCAATTGCTATTAAAATCAAATATCACAATTTCAATTCTTAAAGGCATAATTTATCAATGTTAAAGCCGAGATGCACGGCCCTACGTGTTATCAGTGTCTGTGATATGGTGTAATATTGAAGCCCTAAAAAAAAAATTGCGCTTCAAAATGATCAAGTGCTTTAAAAAAGTAAAAATCTTTGAGTGACCGGTTTTTTCATACTCGTTTTCCCCAATAGACTGTAGTGTTATGAAAACCGTTTGGCAAACGGTTTTCAAAATTTGTAATTCCAATCATAAATATCTTGATAATCAGACAGGCGATCGACTTGTAAAAATAATGGGGTTCCTGACTGAACTAAAGGTTTATAATTATCATTGCAGCATGAGCTAAATCAAGGATTTTGTTTGAGAATCTGAGACAAAGTTACCGGATCCCTTTAAAGTGGATTTGATAATTTATTTTGACCAGAGGTGCCAACCTTCATCAACAAAAAAAGAGTATTTTTAAGAGGAAAAAAAATGTATTTTTGAAAAATCTCTCTACTTAACATGGGCTCGAAAAAACGGCGGTATCACGTATACAACGTATTTCAATGGAATTAAGATTTTTAAAACATCTCAATTTTTAGGGAAAAACATGATTTGGGGGGTCATTTTTTAATCTCAAAAATTGAAAAAGAAAAAGAAAAAGAAATCAGTTTGCTACTTGACTTCACTTGCCAGTATTTTCCAGTTTACATTGCAAACATGACTGTTGGCGAAATGATCAGAGTTTGATTCTTTGAACTTATTTCCCCCCCTTACTTTCAAGACTGCTACATCAGAAGACCTCTTCTTGTCTGCGTTTTCTACAAGCATGTGAGACACCACTTTGAAGAAGGCCTGAAGAGCGTCATACCCTGCCCATTTCATCTCAGAGTTGTGTGAATGACTCCAGTATTTGAGTCGGTTGTACACCATCTATGCATAGAGAGAAAAGAGAACTTCCTTGGGTCCGTGGTGTCCAAGCATCATCTCTATATGAAGAGCTTAATTCCAAAAGGAGCTAAATCCACTTTTAATGAAAATTGAGTTATTGATATCAAAACATTGTTCACTTCAGAACCTGTCTTTCAACAAAATTATTTACCTAAATTTTGGGAGCAACTATGAAAAAATGCACCTTCTAATATCACTTTTTTTATAGATGCCTGTACAAAATCTGGTAAACAATTCCTTTTTTTCTCTGAAGTTATAAAATAAATTAGCTCCTTTTGGAATTAAACTCTTCATATACTGTAGCTAAATCCAGATATTTCAATCTAACTATACCAATGGATTACTAATTTCACCCCTTTCCATATCATACCAGTATCATATCAAATCCTATTTGCATTTCATATCACTCATTCCTATCTTATCATCCCCTTATTGTTCTTTTCTGTCTATCAAATTTGCCTCCATCCCTTCTACTCCCAAAGGCATCTCTTCTACTCTTAACTACTTCATATCGGTATTGTCAATTCTATATCAATATCAGCAATATCATTATCACTATCGTTACAGGCATCACCATCATCTACCACCACCACCACCATCATGAACAATTACTGACAATACTATCATAATTACCCCCATTAATAATCATAATCTTCATCTTCAGAACATAATTATCATAATGGTCACCATTACCATCCATCACCCCTCCGTTATGATTACCAACATCACCATCATTACCTCCACTCGTTCGTACACAATCCTTCTATTCTCACCTCATGGTCCCGGTAGAGATATTCATTGAACTGATCTGCATGCCTACGTATCAGGTTCAGCCCAGCCTTTGGGATCTCGTATCGGGGCTTGGTCCCAGACCTGTATGGTCCTGGATCCACGCTCATGGTCACATACTGGTAGATGTCCTTGCAATGTTTGCTGTCTAGAAGACCAAGATAATACAGAAAGCATCATTATGACTCATTTCGGGTTTATCACTATCATCATCATCATCGTCACTTATCATCATCATAACCATGATCATCACCATCATCAACATCATCATCATCATAACCATCATCACCATCATCATAATCATTATCATTATCAACATTATCCTCAATGTTCTTTACCTACTTGAAATGAAGGTGCTGCCTATTACTTGTGTCCCTCAAGTTGTTTTCATCAACCCAGATACTGGTCAAAACAAGGTTTGTCATATTATACAAACTCCATCCCCAACTGTAATTGATATACACTGTAGTAAGCTTGTATCTACTACAAATGTGATCCCACAAACTACAATTAATTGAAATAACTTCCAACAAAAAAAGAATCAATAATAATATTACAATTAAGAACTCCCAATTTGTAGATAATTTCACATGATATACTCCTGTATATAATGATACTTCTCAGATCCTTTTTACTCACTCTCTTCCACAGACTGTGTGAAGTTAACCAGGAGATGGGATAGACCCATTAGACATCCAGCAACAGTCGTCATCTCAGGCTTCTTGGTCTTGGTAGTCATCTGTGAAAAATCAACAGGATATAAAGTGAAACCTGTGTGTAAAGACCACTAAATGGATACAAGAATCCTGACAGGCAGGTGGTCTTTATGTCTGGGATGCCAGTTAGAATTCATCAGAGGGCCTGAAAATCACCTAGAATGAGCTAGTTTGTACACAAAAAAGCCTAAACTATGGTATGAAAATAACTCGCCAGGGCCTGAATTCAGGCTATTGCCTGAAAACTGGCACCCCTGTTTATGTACAGGCTTGATAAATACACGTTTCAATATAAAATAGAGCTTATGGGAAACATAAAATGATTTCATCAAGGAAATTATTTTATGTAGCAAATAAATCAAAATCAAATAAACGACCGATATTGAAACACTATGGATATACTGATCACCTCTCCTTGCCATAACCTTTGTTAAATAAGACCCTGTCGGAAGTGAGAATTGAAATAAATGAACTATATAATGTATCAACTGAAAGATTATGAGCCATAAATTACAATGATATATTCTATTTTGGTGTCTATCAGGAGTAAAATTTCTCTGAAAAGTCAGAATCTAGTTGTCAACCTAAAAAAGTAGTGATCGACTTGATGAAATCATCTCATTTAGAGTACGCATATTCACAATGACCTTGCATCATTTAACCATGGCACATCGCCTCAGCTATAAAGGCAAGCCGATCGGGTCTACATGTTATGTCATTGTAACTGCGGCAAATTTGACCCCTGTTGACCCGTAATTTGGAGTGGAGCGTAAAATAAGGTTTTAGTTTGCTTTAGTGCAGGACTGAAAAAAAAAATGTTTTTCATTCCTTTATATTTGTATTCTACGTATATTCTAGTATATTCCATTGATCTAAAGTTGTGTTATTATAGGATAGGGTCGTTAAGTGAATAAAGTTGATTTGTTACCTGTTGTTTAAGTGTTGATACAAGAACATTGAAGAGTCGGTCGGAGTAATGCATCATTAACTGAGGGTAATACTCTCCAAAGGCTCCGAGGGTTTGGTAGATTCCAAGTTTTACTGGAAAATTTGAGAGACATACAGTTAACAAATAAATTATTCATACCCCTTGTAATTGTGTTTTCGTAAATCGAGAATGAAAAGTGGAGTGGTCGAATAAAGGCTCTTGTTGAATGCTTTGAGACGTTTGCTATAATATGTCACATTCCTAAAGAAACAAAAATCTAGGCAAATCAATTTTTCACATACTTAAAAATTACAAAAATTGTCAAGGGTATGAATAATTTAGCTGTTAACTGTATAAAATATTTGGTGAATATTATTGGTGCATGTTCTTGGTGCACAGTTCTAAGAGGGCACAAAAATGGAGTGGTACTTATTCAGTACTAAAATCAAACTAGATTCAATTAATATGCAGTCGATGGTCCTGGAGAGGTATTTGAAATATGTGTACCGGGTATTTGTTTTGTTTTGGGAAATTACTGTTAGGAGGGATACGTCAATTTTCAAAACAACATCTGCATTGTGACAAGTTATCACTGAATGAATGCACAAAGGAGGACAGTCCATGAAGACATCAGTCAGTGCAAGGATCAATATAAAGCATATTTTACTTTTTTTTTACATGACAATTAAAAAACATTGTGTCACAATCAACAATCAGAAGGCGAGTCGGTAAAACGTCTGCCTGTCGAAGATTGCGGGTTCGAATCCAACCCAGGTGGATGACTGAAACCTGCATTGTGTGTTAACGTGCCCCTCCTCTTGTTTCATAGACGCAGGCTATGTTCAGTGGAAAACACCCCGTCCCTCGGATAGGACGTTAAATGGAGGCCCCTTGTAGAGAAGAGTTACCACCTTTGCATGATAAGAACCCACTTCACAATTCGTATAAGAGTAGGGGGAAACCCTGGTGTAGTGGTCCACCTGCACACCCTTGATCACTTATACTGGGAGGAGATATCCAAGGGTTACAGTGATTCGGTTCACTTTTCGCCTCCTAGACACAGGTGACGTCAAATATTTGATAATAATTTTTTTTAATCAAATAGAAGTCCACGTTTTAAACTGCAAACCTGATTGAGAGAGTTTACTTGGTTGACCGAGCTCTCCAAAGAATTTCTTGAGCATTGCATCCACACCCATAGCTTCATCATCCATCCTGGTGCCACTGGTCAGTTTCAACAACTAGATCATAAAAATACAGAGTAGTCAGTACACAAACATAATAAGTAATTGGGAACGATATATGCTCTAAATAATTCAACTAATACCTCTTGTGACATTCTGATCAATAAGTATTGGGTAGGGGCTTGAGAAGGCTGGGGTTTAGTATTTCTTGCATTTATTTTCTACATGTTCCTCAATTGAATACACTTTGAAACAAGAAAAGAAAATGGGGGGGGGGGGGGCTTAAAGAAAGAATTGGGGGAAGGGCTTAAAGAAAGAATTGGGGCAGGGGCTTGCTTGAGCCCCCCCCCCCCCCCCTACCCCATTCTAGACCTACTTCTGATGTAAACTATTTTTATATAATTTATCTATTCTGAATTTACAGAAAAAATAAATTTGCACTTAACATGATAAGGATACAAGTTAATATCCTCCTGAACCTCAGCAGACGATAGCCAAATAAAGTTTGGCAACTGAAGTAATAGTGTTTTAGACCTTGAATACATACCTCAATCACGAGTGGAAATGTCTTGGCCTTGACCTTGGCTAATTTGTCTCTGGTATAGAGAGACATGCAGACATCTTTTATGTCCTTCGCATGGTCCAGGACCAGCTCTTTGGCCTTCTGTACAAAGCCTAGGAGGAACTCCAAGGTCTGGACCTTGCTCCCACCATACTGAAAAACAACAATCAATGTTATTTCAACCGGTCTATTTTTAAACTACCAGCTGACTTTTAAAAACTTTTAAAAAACTATATCTCGGCATTTCATAATTACTAAATAGTGAACTCAGAAGTTTAAGATTTATATTGACTGTGGAACCACCTTTGGTGGATGGAGGCTTGAATAAAAAGAAGATTAAGACATTTTTGTTCACAGTTATAAGAAATCAGCAAGTTATTTATGTAGGTAGTGATAATATGACATTTGAACTGTTATCAATTTAGTTTAAAGATACAGACCAGTTATGGTCATGCGATTGCATTGTGAAAGAAACGTTGTGGAATCAATCAGTAAAGGTTGATCATCTAGCATATAAGTATTAGTGTGTACTGCAAGGTTCTGGAATCATCAAAATGATAAGAAATTTGGCCCAGTCTACGTAAAGTTACAAGCACTGTACACAGAAAGATGTATATGGGACTATGCACACGTGCACGACACGTGCGTTTATCTCTCACATACCAATAGATAAACTAATTAACCAAATATATCAATTAGTAGGCGGTTTCCCTGCAAAATTTGTATCATCATGTATTAGTCAAAACATATTCTTTCACATGATTGGTAATAAGAGCTTCCATTTCATTTTTTGAAATTGGGGCGTTTCCAATACTGGTCTTTACCTTTAAGAATTACAAACAGAACATCAATGAACAGATATAAAGGACAAAAAGGTAAACTTTCTTTTACAAGACTTATGTACATGGTTGACAAATGTTGGTGTTGACATATGAAATAAGTGTCAGATAAATCAGAGGTTTGAAAGATAATGACTGAGATACAGTCAAGTTTTTGAGATCCAAGATGAAAGTTCAATGAGTCTACATAAGAACGATTGACACACTTTGAGTAAGATGGGATTTATTTATTAAGCATATATTTTAAGGTATATTTAACAGTCTTCACTAGAAATTTATCTAGGCGGGTGACCTTGTTTTCTGGATTTTTAAAAAATGAAAGGACAGTATTTCTGTAAAGATATGTTATTTTGACATCTAGATATTAATGGGGGTTTAGGCCTTGTAGTCTTTAGAGAGTTTTTGGATATAGAGTCAAGACTTCTTAATAAATGCAATTTAAGATTTTGATTATACATGAACAGGGTAAATGCATACAGATTTAGTGCAGTACATTTTATGAGATATAGACAAGTATAAATACTGAGGATGTTATATTTTTGTTCTACTTACAGGTTGAATAAAAATACTCAACTGGCATATTGTTGGGTTATACAACTAAGCAGATTCGATCGTAATCTTCCTTTTTCGAGCAAACCAATGTATAGGAGGTGAATGAAGTTTACTTTCCCATCACTAGCTTCTTACCTCATCTTTTGAAACTGCCTTCTGAAGAAATGTGATGATTCCAGTCTCCTTCTGAAACAGTTCTGACCGACAAAATGCTAGGAATTTGAAATAAAAGATAAATGACATGGTGACAATCAAATTCAGACATTCAATCAATAGTTATTAGTATGGGCATTGATGAGAAGTAGTTTTTCTTGTAAGTATTCATACATAACTGAGGGTCTCAGGCCTATAGGCCTAGTTTTCGAGAATAAATGCATCGGTTATTAATTAATCTGCTAAATTGACATTTTGATTTATTCAAAAGTTTGGTGGCTAGTTTGATGGCTAGATCTAGCCACCGAAGCTTGCATAGCAGATCCTATGATCGGCTTATTTCTCTAAAGAGAGGAGCCGACCCTACCAAAATAAGAGGCTAACGAACGAAAGAAAAAAATTTGGCCTAATAAAATAAGTAATATAAATAGTAATACACATAGACCTACAAAGTAAATTTACTAAAGAGAAGGTAAGAGCTGTGCTTTTGATTCGTAACATTTCAAACACCACTGTACAAAACTCAACTGGTTTCACTCAATCGACGGTACTTTAGTGACAATTGATGACACCTAAATAGCAGGAAAATACATTTTTTTCAACTTACTGATGTTAAAAAGAATAATTAAAAAATTCAAATTGTAAGTCTAGTGTCAAATTTGCCGATCAACCCAATCGGTCCTATTGTGTGGTGTGTATATTTGTGTATAGTTCTAATAATAGTACCTGCCTCACAGCAAGTATGCAGTGCTAGAGGTCAATACGCATTAGCATTGACTCTATCACTTTGCTGGAGTGATCATCATGATCATGATCATGATCATGTTTATCCTTGTTTATCATTTTTCAAAATTTCCACAATGATTATGAACATAATTTTTATACTTCTGAGGATCATTCACGTTCACTCTGATTTAGAAAATCTACGTGCATTCATCACAATCATTCACATGATTCAGTCAACACAAACTTCGCAATTCAAGTTGAACTTGAGTTTTCCATTTGTTTACTCACCCAGCTCATTTTCACGGGTCTGATTGAGGCACAATTGAGCAATATCAACCACTAAATCCTGGGCAGTTTCAGGACCATGAGCTGTGCCTCCTGAATCAATAACTTCGTGAAGTTCAGCTAAATGACGCTGTAATTCAGCAGCCGCCATTCTTAATTTCAAAGTTCACCGCTCAATCACTGGCATGGAAATGCGGAAGCGCGCGGAATGGATCATGAGAATGAGGTCGAGGGGGAATGAGAGCCGATTGTCCACCGTAACTCAAGGGGTCGCAGCAGATGCAAGTCCGTACTTGCTTGAAACAGGGCTTGCAGCGAGGCGGAGTCAGCGCGGCACATGTGAATGGTGTTTACCTCTGAACTGTTCACCACCGAGCTATACAATCTCCATCGCATCTGACACTGGTCCCGTTCGCGCGTTTCCGTTTTACACCCTGCCCTAGGCTTTTCGGCAAGAAATTACACGAAACATGCTGTATCCGAAGTCTAAGTTTGTTTATATCGACGTCAAGAATAGCGAAGCCAAAGCTTATGTACAATTTCAATTGGGGATGCGAGGGTCTTCTTGTTCAAGACGGTTTTCCCGATATATTATTGTTTTGTTATCGCTGGGCTAAATTTTGCGAGCTGATCACGCATCCTCACGCTCTTAGAGTATTGCGTATTAATGGATAAAAATAAATGATACGACTAGGAAGATCAACTAGTATAGAGAGTTAGCTAGCGCTACGTGACGTTTTCAGAGTTCTGGTGGTGTGCAGAGCGCCGAGGCAAGATGTGGACGACTAGACTCCGAATACCAGTCGGTTTGTAAAATTTTATTGGAGAAAAGCCTAGGGCAGGGTGTAAAACGGAAACGCGCGTCCCGTTCTGGGCAGTAAGCGCCGCCATATTGAAACTCCTAGATGGATCGAAAGTCCGCGACCACAGAGATTGCAAATTTATGTTATCTCTATTGACCGACCCATAGAGTCAACCAAATCGTTTTGTTTCGTGTGAATTTTTGTTCAAGCTATCAGCATACTAGCAGTTGCGATGATTGAAACTAATATGAACCCTGCAAAATATAGGTTATTATCAAAAATATATAGTTCTATGTTTATAAAAAATTATATGCGTTATTGAAATGTTCCATATGCGTTTTTAAAATACATGTGTTTACAGGTATATGCGATGTTTATAGAAAATGATATATGCGCTATTAAGATATATTGGATGTTTATACAAATATATGCGTTATCACTAAATATCAGCATTTGATGTTGTTAAAAATACATGCTTTATTAATTTATGCGATATACAGGTAGTTCCAAAAGTGATGTGTCAATAAAAAATATACTTTGTGCAAGGAAAAAAAATATGTTCAACACAAAAATTCTATTGGACAATTTATAATATACTAAGAAATAAATTAACTGTGTCGATTATATGCTAACGAGGAAGTCTTCTGGAAGAAATCAAAATTGTGTGCAATCTATAATTATAAACCAGAGATGGCTCCTTTCACCAAAAGTAGTAACAAATATAATGAAAAGCCCAAACCCCGCCCATCCCCTCACCTTCTCTACACCCATGCATCAACTTCATTCTTTTGCATTGTTTTTGTGTGTCATGTGTGTGAATATGGGTGTGGTATATGTATTAGAATGAATGGTTATAACTATTGCTTAGTGATTAATTTTATTCAAATTTCGTTTATTTTCTTTTATTTATTTCTTTATTTGTACAGGGCCCCTCCCAATAAGTGTTATTTTTTAAGGGTCCTTCCAATGTATTTTGTATGTATTCATTATGTAATTATTATGTTTTTAATGGAAATATAAAATTGAAGTGAAATTAATTAAAATTGGAGCTTATGACAACAGAGAGAGAGAGGGAGAGAAAGAGGAAGAGAGAGAGAGAGGGAGATAGAGAGAGTGAGAGAGAGAGAGAGAGAGAGAGACGGGTGGTAAAAGGGAATTAAAGAGAGGGGATACGTGCCACAACTATAAAACAAATTCGTTCATTCCAACCTATTTCCTTCGGCCCAGAAGGGTAAACGTTCTGTCATGTCAGGTGGTTCAGAAAAATAAAGTATTCGCTTTTATAATTAATAGGCCCTATTCAGGTAGAGGTGGATAATACCTCATAAAACTCGAGCAGAGTCGTTTTCAAACAGTGTCGGATGCAACCCCTTCTTTTTAACTGGCAGTACTTCTTTGAACAAAATGACAATAACACTTGCTGAATCGCTACACGGCTATTTCCATGCCATTAAAAAAAAAATAATCTTGTCATATCGGTAATAAACGTATAATACACTCTACAATATAAACATCTTGTATAATAATAATAATAGCTCACATTTATAATATAATGCGCCTCATACTTTGTTTCTAGACGCAGTACATATACCCCGGTCATCGGCAGGCTCACCCGCACACAATATATTTATGAACATTTTCCACTCCCTGGGGAGCATTCCAGCTAAGCGCCACTTGCTCATCCAACTTTCGCATCATATCGGGTATAACCCTGGGCGGAGAGTTAAGTGGCACAATGTAGATGAACGTCCTGCCAAAGGAACGAGCGGGACTCTGACCCCGTACTTTGCGATCTTCAGTCGGGTGACTTATCCACTAGACCACAGCACTTCTTTATAAATGAACGAAATAGATGGGTATGTAACAGTATTCCCACTCAACAATTATTTCCCTTTTCTTTCTGTGTTTGTCTACTTCTATATGTCAGTTTGCCTGATCCCCGCCCCCCCCCCCCCCCCATTCTATCTCTTTCTGACTCTCTCAAGATCTCGATACTCACACATTCCCTTGCGTATAATTCAAACTCATTCGTTTTATCCTCCCCGTCCCCACTATCGGGCTTTGTTTATCCGTCTCAATCATTTCACTTCCTATCACTTCCTGTCCATTTCCATCTTGAGTCCCATCTTGACACCCCCCTTTATTTTTTAATGAACGACAATATACAACGACAACAAAATAGATGGGTATTTGAAATTTAAGAGATGAAAACGTATCTGTATACATTTGGCCTCGAAAACATTTCTAAAATAAACTGATTTTATTACAAATTCTATTTAATACGTTGAATGGTTGAAGCATTGCCATTGAAAAGAACAATTATTCGGGATAAAAAAATGATCAGCAGAGCTGTTTGACACCACGGTTATGTAGGATATACAGCATTAGAAAACATTTCAAATACAACATAAGATAGTTTATACAACACCTACGTGGATCCTTGTCATTTGATTGGACGATTGTTGGTCACATGATATTCAATAGATGGTATATTGCACGGTCGTGCATTTTTGGTTATATGCGCCGTGCATTTTTGGTTATATGCGCCGTGCATTTTTGGTTATATGCAGACTGCGTATCTCTCTGCTGCATGTGCGCGCGCGTATCCCTGCGTGTATCTGACGCGAAGGCAATCTGCATGTAATTGAGAAGGCTTGACTCGAACTGTAATTTATCTTTATAAGGAGTAAAGCATAATTTGTTGATTAACGTTCTATTAGGTCTTCTTCGATGTTGTATAAAACAAATAATGAATGTTTTTCATTCGTTTAATAGTGCAAATATTTTCATTCGTTGAAAGATTAACGTTAATTCTATTCAACTCGGCTGACGCCTCGTTGAATAGAATGTTAATCTTTCAACTCATGAACATATTCGCACTATTGAACTCATAACCATTCATTATTTGTATAATATTCATTGATATACATTACATGGCATAAACAATTACAATAGCATATAGAATAAAGCTATATCAAAATAATACAGGAAAAAAGAAAGATAGAGGATGCATGGTAGAAAAGAAAACAACCATGACGGGCCAATCACAAAGCTAGACGGAAACGAAAGACACAGTGAACAAACTTATTAAGCTCTTATCCACATGACACATGCGTCATGAGAGAATAACATTTTGTAAATAATGAAAAAAATAATAACGCCATGGGCATTTGAAGCAGTAAATCAGCGACTATTCCAAACCATACTAAGTTATTATAATTTGTGCATGCATACAGGATCTCTATTAATTGTGCTTTGCCGCCATCTCGTGAGGAAACACTCAACATGGTTGAGTCTCGCGCGTCGCATAGCTACGGACCAGCAGCTATTTAGTTGATTGATTGATTTTATGTATACTGTACACGTTGAACAATGGGAATGCCTTTTCACAACAATGAGCGATACAAGCAGAACGTAAAACTTGAAAGCCAATCGATGTCAGGGGATTCACACCTGAAAAATCAAACTTTTTGTATGGAAGTGACATTATGGATATAGTGAAACATATTGCGGAAAAGGTATGACCAATATCGCTTAGAATTTTTAATAATTGGCAATTTTTTAACCAGAAAGTGAGATCTTCGGTCCCACATATGCAAACTTGTGTTAGATTTTGTAACCTTGTGTATGATAATGCCGAATAGTCTACTGAGTCATGATCAACTTGAATTTTGAAAGGTAAATGTTATATTTAAAATTTAAGAAGAATATTGAGTTTGTGAGAGAAGAAGGACTGCACTGCATGCTGCAACCTGCAGGCCAAATTCTTAATGCTTTTCTTGGTAACAAGGAAATTCCTAGATCTATTGACCCACTGGTGACTGGCACTGCAGGGGAGAATTAGAGAGAAGAGCAAGAACAGACCTAATAGAAATAGATCTAGTAATCAATTTGTAGATCTATGAATACCTCATCACAGGAATATTACATAACTCCAGCACAAAAATTCTTCTCCCACCATCCGTAATAAGGAAGTAAGAGGGCGTTCCAGAAAACTTTATTGAATGAAAGGTAACTTGCTGGCCACCTTTATTCTAACAGATGCAGAGTGGTCCAGCCTTGAAATAATCTACCAGACAAAGTTGTGTCTGCACCTACAGTGGCGACTTTAGAGAGTTAATTGAGAACCCTTCTCTTAAGAATAGAGGGCTACCAAGTATACAAATTAAATAGTGGTAGACTACTATACTGCCCTGGACTGGTTATTATTATTACCTCATTACTGGAAAAATCAGAGATCTGCAGTCAGGTATCAATCAGCCATTGATCCAACTTCTAAGTTCCATCTCTGTTCTTCTCTGGTTCTGGATTGTACTCCAAAAAAAGTGGGATCCCTCATCGCGTCGTGCGTCAGATGGTTGACCTGGTGGAATTATTTCTGTTTGGTGTTAATTGTTTGTGAAAAAGTCACAGAGCCTTCTCTTAAAAATATCTAGTCTAGATCTATGTTGGGGGCGTCTAGGATGTAATGAGGCAGGTCGTTTCAATATTTAACAGTCCAAGGGAAGAAGCTATTTGAGTAAATTGTTGAATTGGTTCTAGGTCTCTGGAAGGATGCTGGGTGTTTGCGTCCAAGTTGGCGAGATGGTCTGGTTAAGTAGGGGTTCCAGTCAACGTCTAGGAGGTTTGCGTTGATATTGTACATCATATTGAGTCGGGCAATCTCCCTTCTCTGATCTGATGATGTGATGTACACAAATTCAGTCTTGACTAATATGCATATTTTAGGGTGCGATTTGGAGTACGGGGATCAAATTTTGGCAGTCGATCTAGTTTTGTTCACGTCAAAAATTGTTGAAACTAGATAAATAGCAAATGCTAAGGAAACAAAAGGCATGTACAACAGGGCCCCGACCGTTGCATAAAACTTACCATTGATGGTAATCAATTGCAACTACCATGGTAACAGGGCTCAACAGCCGATCAAAATCAAGGTTTCCATGGTAGTAACTATTGATGGCAGAGTTACGACCATCGGCCATCAAAGGTAAGTTTTGTGCAACGGGGCCCAGATAAAATTCAGCAGTGATTTCTTTGTTTTATACATAATTTTGAGCTTGAAATTGGCTGGAAATTACTACATGTATAGTCAATTTTTGCCTTTCACAGGTATATCGGAAAAGTCAAGAAAAATTTCCTCTCAAAATATCTTGATTGTTTATAAGATGAAATCAGAGGAATCCGCATTACTAAGCATGAACCTGTGGCCTTTGCATCTTGATTAATTTGAACCAAGATTTATGTGTACATAGAGAGACGATGGTTTATTGTCCCAACATTAGAGACCCGTGGACAGCATGATTGACAACTGAATGTATTTGTTCTCACTCAGCCGGTAGAAATTAGATGGGCTTGTTGTTCATGTTTATTCTCCCCGTTTTTTGTGTGAAGAAAAGTCACAATGTATTCAAGCACTCCAGGTAAAATGTTACTTTCAGCAAATTTATTCTGAAAATGTAAATCGAATGTCTTCCTGTCTTCAAAAGTTCATGGAGAATGTAACAGCTTGGAAAAAGAGGACTATCTTTGTGATGCTCTTGAAATATTTATGCTACCTGTATTCATCAGTCTACACAGTTTTATGGCAAAATGCTGATTATCCATGGGCTTTCCCCAACGTACATGTGCTTGTAGATCTTAGATCAATCTTACTGTATTAGTATTTCTAGTGATAAGAATAGAGACCAAGCTTTATTTCATATTCATCATTGATTTTTGTTGTTATTTCAGATGGTGTAGACAGGACTGAGCAGACTGACTCCAACTTGAAGCTACCCCCAATCCCTGTCATGATGCCTGTCTCTCAGCTCGCTACCAGCTCCGTTAAGATCATGAAACATCCACCTACAACCACAGAGAACTTTGAGTTCAACATCGGTCAATCATCAGACCTGCGCTGTCTGGCATCCAAAGGCACTACGACCTGTACCCGTTGCGAGTCATGCGTGGTCCGCACCAGACTTCTAGAAACCAGGCAGTGGTTCCCTCGGGCCGGGGAGAAATCAAAGAAGAAATTTGTCTTGGGGCTTGTACGTCGTTTTGACAGTGCGAACCTGTTCTCGTACATTGTCCGCATTCTCAAACCACTATGCGGGAAGGACTACCTATACTCCCGATCCAGGGCCAACCCGGGGCTTGTGGGTGATCACGTTGATGCAGGCTGTGATCGTGCATTAAAGGAGCAGGTGATGGAGACGATGATGTCTGATACATTGAGATGGTTTGCAAGTGCTCCTTACTGGAGTAAGTCTAACTTTGCCCTTGGTGTGCTGCAGACGTGCAACGGAGAGCTGGTACATGCCGTCTGCAAGCTATCACAGACGATGCTCATCAATGAACAGCAGAAACAGATCCGTAGGAACAAAGATGTTGGTGAGTTGATGACATCACATGTCTGACCCCTCCTACCCCCCCCCCCCCCCCCCCCCCCGCCAAAAAAGGAAAACTTTTTTTGGGGCAGCAAGATATTAGAGGAAATTGATTTTTCCCAGTTAAGAGTAGACATGCACATAAAGGGAGTTTCAGCTGAATGTGATTTACTGTTAATTGTGTAAAATTGCTCATGAATAATATGAAATGGACTAGATTGCAGTGACATGTCCCCTGAAACATAACCATTTTGCAATGTATGCAGCTTGTAATAAAGTAAATTACACATAAATTTATGTGAACATATAATCATATGCCCATCTTGTATTGTTGATATACTTTATAGTTATATGCTAGCTATAGTGAAATCCTTGCTTCTGATTGGTTATCAGCAGATTTGTCACTGATTTTTGTAAATTGTCATTGAAAAAAGACTTTGTAAAATGGGTCCTTGATCTGTGTACCGTTGATCTTTTAAATGTGAAAGGGTTATATGTGAAGAGAGGTGATACACCACATCAAATATTGTTCCAGGGTCAGGAATGTATCTATAGTTAACATGAATGAGGAAAGGTAATTTCTTGGTTTAAAGAGGGATCAAGAGTGTTTGAAAAGGGATTAGAATGCTATGCCTAGGTGTCAATAGAAAACAAAGCTGGCCTAATCCCTTTCCATTAGCATCCTACTGATGTGTCAATTATACACAAAGGAGACAAACTTCTGTGTGATCAGTATGTTTACAAAGGAGAGACTACACAATAGAATGATACATTGGTGCTCCTTTTCTACTTTTATGCTGAGAGTTCACAATGCATGTACAGGAAGAAGTACTGTGCGTGTGCATTGCTTTAGGGTTTAACTGTTCAGTAAAACATATATATATATGTATATATATATATATTTTATGCAAAAATAAACTGTACATCGGTCCACCCAACAAAACAAAAACAAAAATAAAACTTAGGATCATGGTAAAAATATTGTAAAAATTGTCAACCTAAATGCACAAACAGACAAAAGACATCAATATTCCATCCAATTGTTTTTTAAGCTGTTTCCTGCCTTTCTAATTAACTTACAGCAATGTAAATGTATGTATACACAAACTTTTTTGTTTTCTTGCCAAAAAATTATTTTCTTGAAAAGTAAGTTTTATACTGTATAATGATTAACCCTCATTCCTTAAAAAAAAATATGTATAGTTTGTTTAGTATAGTAATACAAAATTATTATTTTTCTTTTCAACTTTCTTCCAGACTATGAAAATGAGTCATTAGCAGACACTGTGTTCTCCTACAAGTCCTATGAGCATCCTGACCACAATCTCCTACGTGCCGCCTCCTCTGCGTACTCTCATCCCATCAGCCCCTTTCCCCGGGAGGAGAACAGCTCCCTCGCCCCTGATCACATCACCGTGGAGGATGAGTCTGAGCCGGGAGACATCAGCAGCAGCATCTCTTGCTCGGCCAGCCTCGTCTCCCTGGATCCTACCTGCGTGGTGCTCCCCGCCATGGGTAAAGCTCTATCAGGGATCAGACAGAATGTGGATTTTGTCAGGGAGCTGCCGGTCCACCTCTCCAAGTACATCCTGAGCTTCCTGGACTACGAGGACTTAATGCACTGCGGCAGAGTGAGCCCTCACTGGTGTTATATCTCCAAGGAGGTGGAGGAAGACATGAAGCTGAGGCAGATCGTATGGGAAGAGGTCATGCTCATGCAGGTATGTCTCCAGGTATAGGGTTCAAACAAGGAACTTATTGATTGAGCCTTTAAAAAAATACTTTTGTAAATAAATATGTCCCCAAATTAATCTATATATTTTATGCTAATGGGAAGCAAATATTATATAGATTGTGACATGTGTATATGGATAATAATAGGTCCATTTATATAGCGCAGCTATTATGAATACACTGCACTGCACTTAATACAAAGTATCATATTATTACCCTGGCTTTAGCTGTGAATGTTTGCTTGTTATATACTTCTCTGCATTACAAAAAAATAGCTAATGAATACTGGTATTTTTTTTCTCAAAACTCTTCGACTACTTTCTGTGATATGTTGGAAATTCAACAAAGAGCTAAGGTTTAAGAATCTAAATTTTGGTACAACCTGAACTTTGTGATATATACATAAAAGTCTAATGCAGTAACAGTAGCTTAATTGTACAGATTTTGAAGCAATAAATAAATTGTCATTTCGTTTCACCAGGGCTCATCAGCTAAAGGAGGGAACCCCATGTTTGCCAAGCATGTAGACATTGCAGTCCCTCGCTTGGCGGGGGATTCCTACGACGTCCTCCTAGCGGACGTACCTCCGGAGGAGATGAACTTCAAGAGTGATATCAACCAGGAGGCATCCTACAGCGGTGTTGTTACTCGAGATGTGGCAATGGAGGAAAGGAATATCTACTGTGGGGCTTACAATGTCATGGTGCTTAGTGACCAGTGAGTTTAGATTCTCCTTCCACCATTCATTGTAATTCATAACGCTCTTGTTTACACTTTTATTCATAACAATTAAAAGAAGCGTACAATGGCAATTGTACATTATGTGACCAAAAAAAAAGAAGAAAATACAAAAGAAGTTTTAAAGCAAATGTGTGTCAGAAAAATGATACAGGAAAAAAAGTTTATCTCTCTGGGTACAAAAGAAAACCTGAGTCTCGCCGATGCGTGCGGGGTACACATAATCCAGATCTGTAAAAAAAGTAAAACAGTCATGATATTCAAGTTGAACATTTAATGTCAGGGACCAGTTGCACTGTGGTGGCGGTTGGATATGTCCTTAATTAGAATGATTATATTTGAAGTCTTGATATTGATTGCAGGAAATTGTAGTTAGCACTTCTTCGGTAAGTTTTGTTGCATACATGTGCCATTTGGAAGATTTGATCAGGTCAATGCTACTTGATTAAAACCATATTCATATAAGTTATTAAAACCATGCAAAGCCATTAAAAACTGAATATATTTTAGAGTATTTGTGAGGATTATTCTGTGATTTTTTCCTTCATGTTTTATACAGAGAGGACATCAACAGGGTGGTCAATTACAACTTTGGTCAGTTAGTGGCCATTGGATCATTTGACCGTCATGTGAGATTCATTGATTGTATCAGTGGTCAAGAGACTGGTCCTATTATCACTGGACATGCAGGCTCCATCAAGTCACTCTATATCAATGAAGCTAGAGGGTTTGTCATGAGTGGGAGCTATGATACCAGTATCAGGTGAGTTCTTCAGATAAAAAAGATCTCCTCTTGAAATTTGTCATATTTTTATCTCATGCTTTAATTGCCTGGAAAGTACATTTAACCTTGCATATGGGAAGTGGGTGCTGATTACTGTTTAAAGATAAAGACCAGTTCTGGTCATACGATTGCATTGTGAAAGAAACATGGAATCGATCAGAAAAGGTTGATCATCGAGCATATAAGTATTGGTGTGTACTGCAAGGTTCTGGAACCATCAAGAAATGTGGCCCAGTCTTGGTAAAGTTACAAGCACTGTACATGTAGAAATGTATATGGGACTACGCAACACATGCACGATATCTATCAGGTCCAAATAGATATAATACTTTACCAAATATCAATTAGTAGGCGGTTTCTCTGCAAAATTTGTATCATCATGAATTAGTCAAAACATATTCTTTCACATGATAGGTAATAAGAGCTTCTATTTCATTTTTTGAGAGGGGGGCGTTTCCAAAACTGGTCTTTACCTTTAATCCATATGGGAATATGAGAATTCAGTATCCAATGGGTTAATATATGGATATTTAAGTCATCAGTCACCGACCTGCCTTCAAGTTTGCATATGAATTCTATTATACATTGTCTGTCCAGAGCCAGATATACGTGTTAATTACTCTGTGTTCAAGTATATGAATAAATGCCCTTCTGGCTCTAGATGGTAGATTAAATTGAGACATGCAATATTCTTGGGCTCTAGCTGATACATGTATCAGACTAATTAAAGGCTATTCTGTGTTCAAGAGGATCAAGTGATATTCCATTCCCACTCGCGAATTCTGTTCTCCCCCAACGTAATCTTTGAATGTAACTGAAATGCTTTGGGTAATGTGTTCTATATTGCATTTTTTTTAATTCACTCTGTAAATCTGTAGCTGTGCTGCAGACAACCATAGATTAAGACAGATTGGAGAATAATTGTTCATTATAAATCACAACAGTTGTGATCCTAATAGTTACAATCCATTTATGACTGTGTTTTTTTTTAGGTGTTGGGACATCGTGAGTGGTCGTCCTGTGAAGATCTTTCATGGCCATATAGGAACTATCCTGTGTTTAGACATGTACGAGAACACCTTAGTATCAGGAAGCAAGGACAACCAGGTCAAAGGTCAGTGAGCATGCAATAGAGTGGTGAAGTGTGACGTCATCAAAAAATCTATATTTGGAATTTCTCAAATTTTATTCATTTTCCGAAAGAGCATCAAAAATAATGTCTGAATGTCGAAAACCAATTGAATATGTAATTGGCTGAGATATGACCATCTGAATAAAAAGATTTCTTGTAGGAACTCAGTGTTATATTGCTCTGGTTCATAACATTACAAGCCAGAGCAATATAACACTGAGTTCGATCCTATATAGGACATCTACATTGTATTTATTCAGATGGTCATATCTCAGCCAATACTTAACATATCCAATTGGTTTTCGACATTCAGACATTATTTTTGATGCTCTTTTGGAAAATGAAGAAAAAATTGAGAAATTCTAAAAATAGATTTTTATGATGTCACAGCTTCGTACTCTATAGTCTTTTCAAAAATTATCTGCCAAAGCTATTTTAAACCCTATACCTTAAGAATAGTCTTTTTGGGGGGTCTTTACTTATTAAATGTAGAATCTTATGGACAACTTCATGTTTTACTATTTAAATGTTTTAACTGCATAATAAGAACATGTATTATTTCACGATTACCCAAGACGAAAATCCAATTGAAACCAAAATGAACACCAATTGAACACCAATTGAATTTTCAATTGGTTTCAATTGGTTTCAATTGGTCTCAATAGGTTTTAACAGGTTTCAATGGGACTTTGATAGGACTTCAGATGGTTTCAATTGGTCCAGATTGTCCCTATTGGACCAATTGGACCCATTGGACCCATTGGCCCCATTGGCCTAGGCCCCATTAGACTTTAATGGGACCCCAATTGGTTTCAATTGGACCAATTGGCCTGAAGTTGCATTGTTTATAGTTCATTAGAATCAGTAATTAATATAAAGATTGCTAAAAGTATTGATTTCTTTATTCTTGTATGTATTTAAAATTTGTAAACTGAATTGTATGAGTCTCCAGACTTTTTGTTCAGTATGTTTTTATTTACAATAAACGAAAATTGAATTGAATTGAATGTTTCCTGGCGACAATTGTTTCAGGCTGTATTTTGTCAAAAGGTACAGGGTTCAGGTTAGGGTACTATAATTGCATATTAGGTTAGGTGTTTGGTCCACATTTGAGGTTAATCATTTGGAAATTGTACGCGATTGAGGATGGAGCAGTTGGTGCATGAGCATTTGTTATACAACAGGTAGCAGTGCGCACATTTATGTGTAAAAGTATGTTTTTAAAGGATAGCTCAGTGAGTAGAGCAGTGTCCCGTAATCCGGTGATCCGGGTTCGAAACCAAGTCGAGGTGCTCGTGCCCTTTGGTAAGGCATTAATCCTCACTACCAGGTCCCTCGGAGAGGACCTAAAGCGGTCGGCCGTCAGGTTGCTTACTTACAAGCATTTATACTTTCTTAGCAGTCAGGTAAAATAACCACCACCACTACTAACTTAAGTTAACTTAACTAACTTGATTCACTAACATAACTATCAATCTTGTCATTTTGTACCTTGTAAACAGTGTGGAACTTTGAGACAGGGAAGTGTTGGCGTACCTTCAAGCATCGCTATCAGATCAATGCAGTGTCTGTCCATAAAGACACGGTGGTCAGCGGGTGTGAGGAAGGCAAGGTCAAGGTCTGGAGCATCAAGGATGCTTGTCTCTTAAAGGTAGGTAAAGTCTTGAAGATCAATTTAATGAGGTGTTGTGGACTAGTGGATAAGTCACCCGACTGCAGATCACAAGGTACAGGGTTCAAGTCCCGCAGCGGCACTAATGTCCTTTGGCAAGACATTAAATTACATTTGCCACTCTCCACCGAGGTGTAAATGGGTACCTGATATGCTTGAGCACTAGTTACTTTGGCAGCTCGGCTATGACCAGGGTAATATGAGTAAAGCGCCATGAACGTCAGAACCTGATGGATACCGGTGCTATATAAATAACCCTATTATTCATTTAATATACTGCCTAACCTAACTGATTGGGCCATGTGACTAATAACAAGTTGTCAATAAGTTCTACATAGCCACCTTGTTCTAACAGTTCTCAAGTTGTTCTCATGCTGCTTTTAAGTTGGTGAAACATTTCCTGAGAAGTGTTCCAACTGCTCTAAGAAAGGATCACATTTCAGAACAAATACTCAGCATTCTGAAGCAACTTCCTAAGTATCAAAATATATGCAGACTTATTCTGCAATAAGTTTTTGAGAATATTTCAGGTCATGTCCTACATGTATAAGCTCTGTGTCTGTTAAAATCATTGCTCCATCTTAATTGCTTATGAGAGTTCTTTGACTTAAAGGAATCGCTTAACAATGTTAAATCTGAGATGCACGGCCCTACGTGTTATCAGTGTCTGTGATATCGCGTTATATTGAAGCCCTAAAAAAATATATATTGCGCTTCAAAGTGCCTCACAAAAGTAAAAACCTTTGAGTGACCGGTTTTACCATACTCGTTTTCCCCAATAGACTGTTATGAAAAATGTTTGGCAAACGCAAAATTTGATTTTCGATTTTCTCATCATAAGTATCTTGATAATCAGACAGGCGATCGGCTTGTAAAAGTTATGGGGTTACTGACTGACCTAAAGGTTTATAATTATCATTGCAGCATGAGCTAAATCAAGGATTTTTTTCAAAGGATGTAAGACAAAGTTACCGGCCCCCTTTAGGGCATGGAAAGCCTCAGCAGCTTTTTAAAGTGTGTAAATGAATAGCAAGTCCATGCAACAAAGGATTTGAGCATATTCACTGAGCTCTGTGTTATAAGATACAGAAAGGTAAAGCGTTATACATAACATCATCATTACAAATCACAGTGGTTTTGATTGATACGTCACATCTGAAGGAGTCTTAAAGTGGCTTGGTAACATTGTTGAAGGTTGAGGAAAAAATTGCTTAATTTTTGTAAAATGTTACTTACCGGTACTATATTCCTACTGTACTAACCCTCTGACATGCAGAAAATCCTGAAAAAATTCTCAAACCACGAAGATATATATGGTTTTCTTTGAAGGCGTCGATGCATGACACCCACTAACAGTGATTAACAGTAAATTCTCCCAACCATTTTTGAATTTTCCCAACCGTTTTTTCATGAAAAAAAGACATAAAACAGGCTATAAAAAATCTGTCAACACTTAAATGTCTGGAATGGAATGTAAAGCCATTTTATTGCTTTGTGACGATTTACATTCACCTAAAATGTAATAAAATTGGAATAATATAGTTGGGAGAATTAAGGAATCGATCAGATCATTTTTTCCAAATTTGTACCATGAATAATGGTCCGTTTTCACTCAAATTTTCAGATTATCTTTAATTGTACATCTATCATTGAAGTCACTACCTCAGCACCACTATCTCTCATCTGAACAATGTTACCAAGTCCCTTTAAGAGCTGTAAATTATTACCTGAGTTTTTGATTTTCTCTCAGGTACTGTACCAGTCGCCGAAGCATCTGAACCGCCTTGGTCTCCCCGATCCTAACACTCACCAGGGTCCCATCACCAGCGTGAAGGTTGATGATTGGCATATCATCTCAGGCAGTATGGACGGCTATGTCCTGGTGTGGAGTGCCATAGGAAACCATGATAGATGCATTAATGCTATAAGACACCCAAAGTAAGAATTTTTTTTTTTTTTCCTTCTTCTTTGATATGGACATCCTGTATGTTATATCGTATACACAAGTGTTCATAGCACTGTGACGGCATTCATCTTCTGTTTCAGTTTCATTTATTTCTCCTCAAGAGATCAACAGATAAAAATACATATATAAACAGACAAATGTATGACAATTATACATAAGATGAATTATAAAAGTGAGGAAGGCAGGGCCAAAAAGGAAACAAACCTTGTAAGAGGCCAACCCTTTAAGGAAACAAGATATACAATATGTAACATAAAAACACATCAAAATGGAACACAAAATAAGAAATGAAGTACTGGTAACTAACCTAATAAACAAACTAACAAAACTAAGAGCCTAATACTGAATCTAATATTTAGATAATAAAAATGCTTTATATTTCCTTCTAAAAACAGATCAATCTTTGATATTTAATGTTTAAAGATATTTATTGTTATGTAATGTAGTTCCGTATTATCAGCTGTCTCCATGCCCTTGCAACTGTTTTATGGGAGTGAATTTTAATTTAAGTTTTGAATTTTTAAAGAGTTCAATGTACTTCCGATCAGAAATACTTATGATAAATCATGATACAAATATCTTGAATGCCCGAGAGAACTAGGGATTACAGCTGTTGGATAAACAAAATAAATTCAAATAAAATAACATTTATTGCATTAAAAGAATCATGAATTTTGGTTTTACTAATTAGACATACCAATGCAACATCTTCATAATTATTTCTCGCTTCTCACCTTATGTATTCTCGTCTCATACATGTATATCAGAAATTGACTCTCTTTTCCTTTATTGTCTGACACACCAGTGCTGTGCCTAATATGATCATAATTAAGTTCCATCTGTGTCAATGCATTTCCTTCTCTCTCTCTTTCTCTCTCTCTCTTGGAGAGGAAGGGAAGAGAAAGTATAGTTTAGCACTGCACAGTTAACCCCTATTATGAATAAAATACTCGCACCCTGTTCATGTTCGACACCTAAATTATTGCCCGCCCCATCAAATAAACGGAAGCTGCACAGTACATGATACCCACTGAAGAGGAACAAAACAGCGCCATCTAATCATCAGTGATGAACAACTAAAAAAAACAGTACAGCCATGCAGAAATAATCTTTTTAGACATGGTCAGCCTTAAAGATAAAGACCAGTTCTGGTCATGCGATTGCATTGTGAAAGAAACGTTGTGGAATCGATTGGAAAAGGTTGATCATCTAGCATATAAGTATTGGTGTGTACTGCAATGTTCTGGAATCATCAAAATGATAAGAAATTTAGCCCAGTCTTTGTAAAGTTACAAGCACTGTACACAGAAAGATGTATATGGGACTACGCATATGTGCGTATTATCTATTTGGTCCAAATAGATGAACTAATTTACGAAATATATCAATTAGTAGGCGGTTTCCCGGCAATCTTGTTATCATCATGTATTAGTCAAACATATTCTTTCACATGATTGGTAATAAGAGCTTCCATTTCATTTTTTGAGAGGGGGGGGGGGGGGGCATTTCCAAAACTGGTCTTTACCTTTAAAACCCAAGAACAACAAGCATCTCTTTATCTGTGTTTTCTCTTTGAATCATCCCCAACAGTCCAGTTCTCTGTATCCACATGGCCTACCTACGTCTGGTAACAGGATGTGAAGATGGTAAGCTGAGGATCTGGAACATGTTTACAGGAGACTGTCTCAGGGTCATGAGAGGCAACAGTCGCTCTGATCCCATCGTCGCCATCAACCCTTGTGGGGAAAGGTATGTTATTAGGGACTTTTAGATTCTGCACGACGAGAACGTGGACTGCCCTTTTAAGGCAATGTGACGTCCTTTAAATGCACTGGATCTAAAAGTCCCTATTCTGTTATCTTGGAATGTGACCACCACTCTAAAAAAACATGATGCAGGGGCAGCTCTTGATGCATACAAAATACCCTTTTTGATGATTTGTATGATAATATAAACACAATAGAATGGAAATGAGAAGTGAAGTTAAGTATTATCTTAAATTGATTCTTTAAAATGACTTAAGTAAATGAAGTTCACATTTGTTATTGTTATTTTACCTGTATCAACTGTATCAAAGTATTTAGTTGTATAAAGTTTTCCCAGGAATTACCGTTTATATGTGTTCTATCTAGGTAACTATAGATGAAAGGGATCTTATTCTTGGTTGTAAGGTTTCTGCTATTTCCATATTACTTCATGCTTTCTTCTTTCTTCACCTGTGTACTTTCTTCAAAAGTTTGTAATAAAAGGTCAATTTACAAATGCCATGAAAATCTTCATAATCTGATTATGTTTTTCAACATTTCAGGTTGTTGCTTCAAACCATCACCAACCTTCTGATGCTTTGCTTTGAAGAAGTTGAGTGGAACTATGATCAAAATGAGAAGATTGAGCTCCTAAGATACAAGAACCATTATGGGGATGCTCCTCTACGGCAGCAAAACTATTCCTTAGTTCGTGCACAACGAAGCCAGCTAGCTCAATCAGCAAATCCCAAAATCATTGCACACACCAATGCTCAGACGGACAAGGGCAAGACGAACTTAACTCATAGCACAAGATTTCTGAGCAACAGAAGTTTGCAGAGTGCCAAAAAGACCCAGGAAGTGTGTGTTAATGTCACCCTGACACAGAATATGAAGGGCCCTCTGTATCATAATGTCCAAGGTCTTCGATCTGGAAACATTGATGCCCAGACAGATCTGGGCCTAGTTGAAATGAAGGGACAGACGTCCACGTACAGGGTGAATTCCCGCCCACCAACCGGACGTTCAAGGTGCAAGTCTAGCTTATCGACTAGCAAGGGGTCTTCAGAGCTTCTCTCGGGATCCTCATCTGGTGTAGCATCATCAATTAAGATAGCAGAGTCTAGACCCACCACAGCACATTCTGGACAATCAAGAGGAGTATCTCTTGGTCCATCACAGGCTGTTACATCAAGTGTATCTCTTGGTCAAGAATTGTATGAGAAGCGTCCAACCACAGCCATGTCAACTCAGAGCAGCCAACTGAAGTTCACCAAGTTCCAGCTCCCAATGAGAGGACACAGTGCTCCTGTGAGACGAAACAAGACAGCTGATGATGCTGTCTCACTGTCAGAAGCTAAGTCCCTTCTGCGCTCTCAGCAGAGGATCACTAATGAGGGTGTGAAACGTGATCGCCTTCTTCTGACTTGGGGCAACATAGAGGAAAGTAAAAAGAACAATGAAGTAGTGAACAATACCCTTGCCAATGCACTTCACATTGATTATGTAGGCTATGCAGCCCCAAGCAAGTCCTCTAATTTATCATCAAACTCCTCAAGGATGTCTACTATATCAAGAGTTTCATCAAGGAAAGGCGCGATTCCCAAGACTCCAACAGCCCCTATCTCAAAAGAAATCATTGTTAAGACTCTTGAACATGTTGAACAGGATGTCAAGCCACAAAAGAGCATTCATCCAAAGACCACTGTTTCTACGGTTCCTAAAGCAAACTTGATCAGACCACAGACTGCACAGGTTCTAGAGAGAACAGAGTTGAGACAGCCTGCAAACATGCACACCAATAACAAAACCCCTGATCGTCGATGCCAGAGTGCATCAATGTTGAGGACATCCATGTTATCTCCTACTTCCCAGTTTGAAGTGAGTCACATGGTCAGTCCTGTACGAAAGAAGAAAAGCCACGGTTGGACAACATCCCACACAGAACCAGTGACCATTGTACCTATGCTGATAGGGAAAGGTAGTAGTGGTATCTCTTCGGAGACAAAGAAATCCGAGTCCCATCAGAAGCCATCGACCACATCAAGACTGAGCATGATCCAGAAGCCGGTCCAGGATCCCTTGACCAACCACGGGGAGTTTCAGGTCCGGACCAGACAGCAGACCCAGGATTATCTCCAGTATGTGACTGGGATCCAGGAGAAATACTTCCAGGAGCAGAGTGAAGAGGAGAAGATGAAACAGAGAAAGATGTGGCTCCAGGTAGCAAGAGGTAAGAGGTCAAGCAGTGTACCTCCAAGGAGAGCTCCTCAAAGAAAATGATATAATATACAAATAATGACCACTCATGAGGATGATGGTGGAAATTATCACTCCCAAGGTGGTGTTTATACCGGCCCTTCTATCACCCCTGAGGCGAAACATCCGATTACAGAGCAGTCCATATTTGTTTTATAATTTATATACCTCATCCTTTTCATTGATTCATGAATAGGTCTAGAAAAGAAATCCAACATCAAGAGTCTATTTGCTCCTCACAATAACATATTTACAGTCTTTCGAACTTCAAAACAGTTTCAAATATCCAACGCTAAAATAAATCCAACATACAGAATTCCAATCTATACAGGTACTGCAGTAGGGTAGTACAGTTACTGCGGCTCACCGTAAATTGCACAGCATGAGCACCATGACACTGTGGGAATCGCCCGGTGAGGCATTTGTAATCCTGTGCGCTCTCCGTGTGTGCGAAAGCCGCGAAGGGTTACTCGTTCTATCACAGGGTTTTGGCGTTCTATCATTTGACCTCAGGTCAATTGATAGAATGCCAAAACCCTCTGACGCAATGATAGATCGAGATGCGCCTTTTCATGTGATAAAGTTTTGACCAATTAGTGATTTAAGAATCTATGTATATCAGGTATATAATAAGAGAGGTTGACTACATTTCATAGAGGATATTGTTGCAGAGAGCCAGAAAGGCATGAAATCTCTGTTAGAAGATCAAGTTAACCCACTTTTGGCTCAAAGCAGACAGTACCAAAATGGCCAAGTACAGCTTATGGGTTGCCATAGATGTACAGTGTACAGAGAGGATAAAAAAATGTGCTCATCCTAGGTTTAGCTGTAATTGATGCTTGATGTGAACTTTCATTGAGACATGTGCTGAATATACTATGTAAGTATCTATTGAAATAAAAGTACTGGTAGTGGGTCACGTCTTCAACGTATTTGTTGGACTGATTTTTTTTTTTTTCTTCACCAAGTGCAATATATTATGATTGATAATTATGCCATTGTTAATGGCTACTATTGTACTGTTTGATTTTCTTTTTCAATATGCTTTTGTTTTTGTTTGAAAATATAGTTTACAAATGAATGTACAGGTATATTATATTACATGTACTTATAATGTAAATATGATTGACATACATTGTATATATGTACTGTGTTGGATAGGCCGGTTGTTATTTGATTAATGCTGTAAATATAGAAATTGATGCAAGTTAATGTACTAATAATGTCAGCTGTCATTCCTATTCAGGACTGTGCAAAGACTATTTTACAGTATTCTTTATCTTTCAATCATATAATTTAATTCATTTCTCATCAAAATCATTTTTGTATACCCCCCGGTATGTCAATGTAGATGAAATATTATTCATTGATCTGTGCCTTTTTATAATGTCCTTTTTTTCATACATAATCAGGAAATATCTTTCAGAAGTCAAATTCTGACATTAATGGTTCATTATCTTTGCAGTTACTTGTATTAAAGTGTGTAAACTTTTTGCATTGATGATGCAGTGACAAGAAGCTACATTCTACATTACTCAAAAGATAATTACCTCCTCTTTGGTGGACATTCAATGTACATACATGCTTGGATATGTTTTGCAATCTTTTTTGAAGCTAAACTTAATTTCAGCGATGGAACTGCATTTTGAAAGCACAGCTGGCCGAAATCAATTTTGGATTGTAAATCATGTTGTAGATATCATTTGTGTGGATGAGCAAAATGTAAGATGTCAGTGGATGTTTTTTTGCCCTTTTTTTCTATAGTCAAATGCTATACATGTACGATTGGTTACTGAAACGTTTTTTTTTCTTCTATCGCAATCCATTCCAACTATGTAAGAGCTCTGTGTGTGTGACATCTGGTTTAATAATCTGAGGTTCTGATCCGTTTGAACTCATGCAATTTCCTTTTGCTTCCAAAGCAATGTATGCACATAATTCTATCAGTATTACTTTTCAACATTAGTTTAGGTTTTTTATGAATATTTGATGACTTATTTCAAAATGATTCATACAATACTGCAGTTCATTTATGCACACTGTGGGGCATTTTCAGACTGACTTGTGGTTTCGAAGAGCTTTATATAATTGAATTATTTTCAGTATGTTAGATCATTTTGTTCATTTGCTACTCATTTGTTTAGACCCGTAATTATGTATTCAGTTGTGTGAATGGCAATTTGGCATTACTACTAATAATGTTTTAATTTTACCATTTGACTTTGTTATTTTCAATCGAGTGATCTTCGAAATACAACAACAAATTTCAAGATAACCAACCTCTGTGCTTCTAATGGTAATGTGTCTAACCATATTCATGCTCAATTGTTTTAATATACACCTATTAGCAGAAGATATCGAGTGTTATACCAAGTGTGCCACTTTTTTAAAGTTGATTTTGATAAATAATAATAATAATAGGCATTTGTATAGCGCCGTCTATCTAGACAATTCTATTCCGAGGCGCGCAAAAAAAAAAAAAAAGAATGAGAGAGTTTGGATGAGTGTCATGGTACCAAGTACAGGTATTGTTAAAAAAGACAAGATTTCAGCTCGGATTTAAAGGTCTCTAAGGAAGTTATGATTGAATATGTGTGAATTTTATAGAGGCTTGATTGGACAATAAAACTCTGCTTGAATAAAACGCTGGGACTGGATACGAGTGCTGTGAGTATGGCGGTATAGCCTTGTTAGTTTTGAACAGAAGGATTTTGCTGCAGGGATTTTGCAAAGTATCGGTACTTTGTTTTGTTATTTTTTGCTCTGTTCTGTAGCCTATTACTTTGTTGTTGTTGTATATTTCTTTCTGAATGTTCATTTTGTTATAGAGTCTATATAAGTGAATGTAATGTGTTAATATTTGCTAATTCTTTGTATATTGTGCATTTCCCCGCTTATCTGTAGTACTGTATCTCAATAATAATCTCCATATTTGCAATTATAATTATCTATTAAAATTCCACACTACTATGTCAAGTGTATAGAAACCTTTTTAGTATAATGCACTATATCAGAATTGACTTATTATTATTATTATCATTATGAGACAATATATCTGTAAATTTTCACACACATACATAATCGCAACAATACTGGTAAGGCAGAGAGCATATCTCCTTGTAATGGAAATATTAATATTTTATCAGGGGATGAATTATCTAAACATATTTTGCTCTCTGTTTTCTTTATCAAATTCAGTTGAAATTGGCAAATAATCAGGAACTTGCTATAGATGAATAACTTATTTTAGATTACCCTTTACAGTTACCAGTTTGTCTTTATTATGATAAATCTTGTGCTTTTTGTTAGATTTTCAAGGCTATAGGGAAACTCAGTTTTTCTGTCTGCCCAATCTTTGCAGGACAACGGTAGAAATGAAGGAGCCTCGATTAAGGCTACATACATAAACCATAACTCCATCATTTCCTTTCATGTGGCTAAATATCCCCTTTCAAGGAAATCCTCTGACATTCAATTTACCAGTCCAAAAGAAAATTTGTCATGTATATATAGTCACAGAAAAAAGAAGAAAAAATGTACATGTGCATTGAAACATACAACATAAAACGAGTGAAACATATATAGCACTTAAACATTATATTCAAGTTTGTTCATAACTCCAGATTAATTACCAACACAATATTACATTGTAATTATTATTATTAATATTAATATTATTTTTTTTAGTATTAATATTATTAGTTTGACTCATTGTCTCATCATAGTAAAATATTGTTAGGCTACAGACAAGAGGGACCAAAGAAAACATGATTTTACCAAACTCTCAACCTCTACCAAGAATGTACACTTATTACTCGTAATTCAATAAACTAAAAAATGAATGTTGAACATTTTTACCTTGTACAGTATTGAATCAAGCACTCATGATTGATGAGTGCATTGTGTTCATGTTGGTTGTGTAAACATTAGATCAGTAGAGTAAATCACATTTGCTAAAAGAATATTGTTTGTCATCACTGCATCTAAAAATAAAGATTATTTTATAACTGAAATGATTATTACCTGTCATTTTTGTATTTCTAGAATTCAGGGTCATGACAGATTCAAGCGTAATTGTTTTGATTGTGTGTTTGGAGGGTGGAGGGTGGTGGGGGTGGGGGGGGGGGCATTGCACACAACTCATAAGATAGCCCAATCACCATATGGACCTACAAGAAAAAAAATTTCCTCTTCATTTTAACATGTTATCTTTCACAGATACATGTATTACCATCACAGTCCACCAGAATGAATTGAAGTTTACAGAAACTATTACCAGTTCATCAATATAATTATATCAACATTCAGAATTCATAGAACTCAAATACTTCTACAGGCGGATGTGGAATAATCAGGGAAGGGGGCCAAATATTTAAAAATCTCATTGGCACGATCCCAGAGTAGCGTAACTCAGCTACATTATTACTACTTATTTTGAAACGGGATACTGCAGCTAACTTTTCCTCTTGTATGGATCTGCTCGCATATGCATCTCGCAACGATTAAAGGTAATACAAAGTTTTGGTATGGGGTCACGAATTTGGTTCAATGAACATATTGGACGCATATGCGGTCCTACGGTATTCAATGATCGTTGTCGCGGTTAAAATCGAGTTTAAAGTTATGAAATTGTTAATAATAAACCCTTCATGTTGTAAAGCTCCCTCTCAAGGTCAAGATATTAATTAAGCTATAAACAATGTTTCTTGACTAAAATCTACCGATTAATTGTTCCCGTTTGGAAATTATATATCACAACTACATATTCTGAGATTTTCATGGTCGCAGCTACCATTGTATGGCCGTAGGCGCTACTTGAAATTTATCAAAATTTACAGGGAGCACCGGTAATTTTTTATATTCAGCAACTTTTCTCGAAACCAGAAGTATTTTAGGGGCTAAATTTTCTAGTGCTTATAATACCTCCACAGGGGCATCCAAATATATTAAAAGTGTAAAGAATCACTATCCACCCAATTTTTCAAAATTTGCCAAAACTTTGTATTACCTTTAAAGGCAGGCAACACCTTTTTTCCAGCAATATCAAGGGCGCATCTTTGACCACAATCTACAATCTTGTGATTCGATTTCGATATGCATTTACCTTTAATTATCATTCAGTTCCCTTAGGCTTTGGGTAATTTCATCTTCTATTCATTACTAAAGAAGCAATCAAGTTTCAGCAAGACTGTGACCTAAAATGACACAGGTTTTGAAGTCGATCTCACAAGTCACTTGAAACAAATAAATATATATATATATATGTAAAGACACTCTAGTATTTTCTGTTTCTCTGTTGTTAAATTGCAAATAGTTGTGTATTGCATTCTGTAAAATTCTATACTTGCATTGCTGCAGGCACAGCACTCACTTTCACACCTGCACAGCACCTACAATCAGTACGAGAATACACCCGACGGTGGCCTGTACTTATAGCGAAGAAGAAGAAGAACCATCGACTTAATATCAAAGGGGCGCTATAAGAATCAACAAAATGTTTGTGACACAAACATATTTCCTTTCCTTCTGCAGAAAATTTTCTCATATTTGATATGCCATATTGCTATTACAAACATTTCAAACAGTGTATATGTTCTTCCTGATGTTATAAACACTTGAAATAACACAATGACACTTGAAAGTATTTGAAAGTAAAATTCTATCATGGTCATTTTTTAGGGGGAATACAGGCACATTTCACACAAAATGAACAAATTACAGACCATCCAAATGGTAACTTTAAGATGCTCATGATGAAAGAACATGATTTTATTGAAAATATCTACACATATTTTACAGTAGTATGTTTCATTAGAAAAATACAAATACATATTAGCGTTGTGTATCAAAAGTATATTTCTTACACAGAATGAATTGATATTGCATGATGATGATACAGTCAAAACAAGTACAATTATCTGAATCATACCATCTTAACTCAACTACCGGGATATATATATTGATGGAGAATCATACACAAAATGAAATGGGGAACTACTTAATAAAGCTCTCAGGCCTTTAACAATTGTAGTTTCCTAATATACAAACTCATAATATGGAAATGATAATCAATTGACAAAAACAAAAATATATAACACAACAGAGGGATATGTTGTTTATTATAAGATGGCATAATATAAACAACAGACATGACACAACTTAGCCTACACATCCATTTTCATTGTTTGCAGTGAATCCCCGTGCAAACATCAGCTGATCTTATCTGCAGCTTCAATTATACTTTATCAACATAGACTTTGGAGCTGATGTAGATCCATGGCTGCAGACAGTGGCAGGAAAATACAAACCTTGGATTAAAAAAGGGAACTACAGTAACTTTTGAAAGGCGTATTTATTCTAATCACAAGGTACATCTCAAAGGTTTGATAAAAAGCTCCCCCCTCAAAGACCAGAAGATGTTTACACACTACAGTAAATAAACATAACACATACTAACATATGTAGCACACCGGTTTTAAAGCTCGATACAATCATCAGAATAGTAATAAAATAATTCATCTTTGGTTAGATACATTTAAATGCATTTATTTATTAAAACTTAATATGAAATCTGTGCATAAATCATCAGTAAAACAACATGGAAATGAGTTGAAATAAGGCACTTTTAAAGTAATAAAAATCAATATTTCAGGGAAAACAATTTTTTCAATGAAATTGTTACATGAATGTCCATATGTACAGGTAAGGCACAGTAGTCCGAAACAGCTGCTATAAATACTGTATATGTACAAGAATAGCTAATACTAGTACATGTAATATACTTTCATTAGAATGTGCATACAAGCATTGCATATTATGAGATGAAGTGTGGCATTTGATATTTTGTACACTCAGATATATTTGTAATTATTACTTTTAAGTACGGTAGTAAAATATGGAGAGTAAGTACACTCCGTAAGGTACTTTACATAAAAAATTAAGCTGTTTAAACATAAAGTGTTTAATAGTATATATATATATATATATAAAACAATCTTTTTTTTAAAGTAAAAGCTCAAGCAAGCACTACATATAAGAATATTAATGTATACAAGTATAAAGCTGCTTGAATGCAATAATCTTTCATGATGAGAAATAAAACAATTACAAAAATAATCAGTCTAGTGACTCATTTAGGAATACAGTTAAAACCATGATTAAAACGTTTACACCACTAAATGTCTGTCCTCTCAAAAGCACTTTATATCTTTATATTTGCAACACATGTAACAATAATCTCAGCAGACCTGTATGTAGAGATGCACAGAAATATTCTGGAAAGAACACTCGGTGGGTGATTTAAGATTATAAAAAATAAACTATTTAAAAATCTTTTCTACCAATCTTGTCACTGAGTTACACACAATATAAGTATGCAAGGCTAAAGATGTATGCAAATGGTATGCTATCGAATGTTCCTCCTCATATCACGAACATAACAGTAATACATTATTTTACACCTTAAAGTACATCACATGATTGATGTCAACTAATTTCAGAATATTTCATTTTGTTTTGATTTCAATCTTCAGCTGTACAAAACACCTTGATCATTTGAGTTGAAGAGGAAGTATTAAACACCTTTAGAAGCTCACCGATGATTCTTTCACATGCTTTAAATGTAAAATGTAAAGAAGGCCTTAAGAATCTTGCTTTGACAGGGAAAATTGTGGGAAGAAGGAGGGTAATCTCGATGAACAGTCTGCAGAAATTGTTGGAAGAGAGAGAGGAGTGAAAGAACTGGGAGTGGTGCTAATATAGAAGGCTAGGACCAAGGGTTGTGAAACAGCATGATCGCCAAAGTCAATCGATATGGCACTTAGAAAGATAGAGAGAGAGAGAGAGAGAGAGAGAGAGACATGTAAATTGGGAGGAAAAACATATTTTGTTCAACTTGACTAAAAGACAACTTAATTTTGGGTTTTGAAGCCTGTCCAAAGACCCCAGTCCATATGGCAAGTATAGTTCTCATGTTTAGTCTCTTCAAAGCATAGATGCAAATTGCATCATCAAGAATTATATTTTATTTATAGTGAATGCAAGACAGTGCCATATGATGTCTTAATGACTTTCAGTATCATATAATTTGTCATGCTTTAAAGGCATTGTTTAACAATGTTAAATCTGAGATGCACGGCCCTACGTGTTATCAGTGTCTGTGATATGGTGAAATACTAAAGCCCTAAACAAATTGTGCTTCAAAATGATCAAGAAGTGCCTCAAAAAAGTACAAATCTTTGAGTGGTCGGTTTTACCATACACGTTTTCCCCAATAGTCACTGTACTGTTATGAAAAACGTTAGGAAAACGCAAAATTTGGTTTCGATTTCCAATCATAAATATCTTGATAATCAGACAGGCAATCCACTTTTAAAAATCATGGGGTTCCTGACTGACCTAAAGGTTTATATTATCATTGCAGCATGAGCTAAATCCAGGATTTTGTTTCAGAATCTGAGACAAAGTTACCGGATCCCTTTAAAACTTAAATGACTTTCATTACCATTTATTCATTCTCTAATTCGAGAGCTAAAATTTAATCTATACACATAAACATGATTGACTAAACATGACAATGCTTTCATATATAACTTATAAAAGGCTGATAACATTGCATAGGATTTGGATTAAAGGACAGATCTTCATACCTGTAACCTGTTGATTACTTAATTATCTTATTGTCATATGATTAATACAGGTTCAATACAGTTTCTGAAGGGAAAACGTTAACAGGCATACCCTGTTTTGCCAGATTACAAGACTACCTTGTACACAAGAATGGGATACTAAGCAAATATTGACTACTTTGAGGGGCACAGTTAAAACTATAGCCTAAGGCAGAGATGCCAACCTCTTGACACAAAAAAAACAGACTGAGTATCCTAAAAAATCAGATTTTGGAGAGAAAAATAAGATTTTCAAGAAAACTCTACACTTTTACTGGCCCGTCGGCCCCGGACCATTAAAATTTCAGAAAATTGTTTTACTGGTAAGTACGGTCAAGTAAAATGTTAGCTCTTTCATTAAAATTTAATGAGAAAATTGTAAAGCAAACTTTTTGTTGGGGTTGAGTGGTTTACTTGTACATGTTTTTATGGGTTTTTAAATCGTATTTTAAGAGGTGATATTGTATTATTGTAGTTCACTCTTATTATCGTACTCAATACAATTTAATCGTACTGGTTGGCATTTCTGCTAAGGTGATCTTGAAACTGTACTGTGCTCTGAGAGGAAGTTAACAAGGGACATACCGATAGTGCAGGCTCCAGATCACCAAAGAGCTATAGTTTTAAGGTGACCCCAAAATTCAGCAGTCAATATTGGTTTTATATACTGCATCCCACTTGTGGATTCTCAAAAAGGCAATGAAATAATTCTCCCTTTCATGATGTATTTGAAAATGTGGGGAAATTTATCTAAAAGAAATGTTTGTATCCACTGTGCACTTCCATTGTATACTTCACGGGCATCTATAGCGTCCCTCCATTGTATGTGCGTTTGGAACTATGCCAAGTCAAAATGTTATCGCTTTACTGCCCACTGAATGTCACGCCTGCAGTTTTGACCAATCAGAAGCTTAGAATCTTAACATGTGGTATTCGTTAAAGTAAAGTGAAAAGGCTGAAACTTTAATGTACAAAACAGTCCAAGTTCAAGTTACAAAACAAATGGAGAGAAGCTTGCATACAAAATCACAATTGAAGGACGGAGTTACTGATTTAGTCATTGATTTCAAATTCTAAGCAGATTGTTCTCAACGACTAACTCGGCTATTTTGTTCTGCTCCTAGTTATATAATAATAATAATAATAATGGGTTCTTGTATAGCGCTCATATCAGTCAGATTTGACCCTCCTGGTGCTCCCGATTATTATCCTGGCTTTAGCATGGATACCATACGGCGCTCTAGCATTTCAAGGAATAAATTCCTACCGCGATAGACGATAGGCCTGTCCGTGGGTATGTATGTATTCCTTGAAATCCCACTCCATATCTTCATCCATTACTGGTCTCCCGACCCTCACTATTTCAAACTACTAATGGCACTACTTCTTCGGATTGCACACATCCTCCACAGGGTTGCATCCTTCACCTGCTGCATGTTCCAAGCCTGCTTTCCTTCGGTAAAAATAATCTTTTATCCGTTGTTTGCTGAACTGTTTGAATTATTTTGATCTCATCGAAAAGGAAAGATCTATCATGTCACCAGTAGCTCATAGTAGAAAGTATGCACTACAGAAAATACATCTTTTTCTTCCTCCCTCATTCCTTTGCTTTCTCTCTCTCTCTCTCTCTCTCTACCTCTCTCTGTCTATGAGCACTAACCCTGTTCTCAGCTGTGGTGATGATATTATCTACATACACGACTACGACAAGGGTTTATGGATTTTGACATTTCTACGTATTAGGACAAACTCATTAGCTCTTTAGTCCTGGAAACCAGACTAAATGAGCGTTTGGGAACATTATATGCAGGTCAAGCTTGCAACTATCTCTCTGTAAACTCCCTGTATCATTACCACTCACAAGGAATAAAAGTTTGAGCTGGAATTATCCTTCAAAAGACTCTTCTCACTGATATATCTCTTCCATCCAAAGATACTCGTCTTCAGTTTCACAAACGAATCGCTGTGCTCCCGGAATTGGAAGTCAAAGTTCGCGACCTCTACGTTACGTTTCCTGTTCTTGCGTACGTGTTGGATGAAGGAGATGAGAGCAAAACTTGTCATGCAGAGTCCAGCAATGACGGCCACTGTTATTGCAGTTATGGACTGGGCTGGGAGGGCTAGGCATAGAGAACAAATGAGATGGATATAATGAATCACAACATGACGAATGTAATAATGAAATGAGATATGTGTAGTTCAGAAATGTATCATTGAATAAGAGAGACAATTATCTTGGATATACATGTCTAACTACATGAATATAAGAATAAGAGAGACAATTATCTTGAATATACATGTCTAACTACATGAATATAAATCTTACACTTAAATAAAGAAACATTCTAATGTTCATTTTTCTTCATGAGAACACCTCCCAAAGTACTTACAATGCCATTCCAAAATTTCCAAAGAGAATATTTCTCCCATCTCTCTGAGGCTTAAACTATTTTTTACAACCATACAAAGAAGAACAGATCATCAATAGAATATTTAATCTATACTATGTATGTATTTCCAATGACTGCAACAGATGATTTATGTCTTAGAATAGCATAGGATCTAAAGCCCTCAAAAAAAGTTTGGGAACTCTAGTTTGATTGATCATATCTCTCTTGTTATGGCATATAGCAGACCTGCCAACCTCTGGAGTTCAAAAACTGTATTCTTCAATCTCAAAAGTTGTATTTTACTGACAAAAGTTGTATTCTTAAAAATAAACAAGGACTGTTATGCAAATCAATGCCTCTTACAGTTCCTACATGCAGTAATAAATTTTGTTATGGATCATTGGTTGAATATGCATGATTTCGTCAAGACTGGTGTGTTCGATGAACCAATGAACATTCCCAAATTGCCGATGTGAGATGCTTGTAGGATAATCTACAGGACAGAATGGGCTTTTGGTATTGATTTTTTTTGTTTTTTTTGTTGGAAAATCATATTTTATTTAGGAAAATCGTACTATCATATTTGCTTCTAAAAATCACACTGGTTGGCAGGTCAGCATATAAGCATCACTTTGTTAAGTATCATTAGAAAGTGTGTGTATTCTTCTTAAAACAATACCCCATACGTTAGCGGTTTCTTGGTCAGTCATGGAATGTGCATTACTGCATTACATTAAAATAAGCCACAAGGTCAAAAGTGAAAGGTTGCAAGATGTACTGCTTTTGTTCGGCTGTGCATTCTTCTTTCTTTGAAGAGTGTAGGGGCTGCTGTGTAGCACACTGCATAACAATACCAGTGCTTATCGGTGCATTTTGCTACTTTTCACTTTTGACCCTGCCCCTTATTCCATGGCTACAAAATCATAACAAATACAGTATCATTTTAAAGAAGAACAAACATAATTCCTAAGTAATGATACTAAACAAAGAAATAATTATCCCATGAAAAGCGATATATAATCGATCAAACTTGAGTTTCTGAACTTTTTTGAGGGACTTATAAACAACAGCAGCTCTTAAGTACAATTAAAAGCAAAATAATTCATAGAAGGAGGCCAGCTTACCTGGTGGTGCATGTGCATGTATTGTAGATACACTGACTGCAAAGCTTACATTGTTACTGGCTGCTGCCTGGAATGTATACTCTCCTAATGATTGGAAGTAGTAGTTGATAGTGGTATGACACGTATCATTGAGCACCATCACACAGGTGGTGTTGGTTTGGTTTGACCAATCACTGGACGGTCCATCAACGGTCAAACATAGCTCAACTGGTGGACTGAGGAAGAAGGAAACAGATGATTGATTCATTATTACTGTAATACTTGTACTTTTTACTCACAACTTCACGCTCAAGACATTAGGCAATATGAAATGATGCACCAAAAAGTATATAGAGAAAAGACCCTCCTGAGTCATACATTTTTGAATAATTGAAAACTTCGTCTTTTGTGTGTTGGAACAAATGGAAAAGTTGTCCGTCACTACATCACAGAGACATTTATGATTACAACTTTAAATAATTCATCTCTTCAAACTTTCCCCAGTCTGCTTTTCTGATTTGTCTGCTTTCCTCTAGAATAATTTGCTATCAAGGTTGGATTTCCCTTAAACAACTTTCAAGGGGACCTGAAGTCTTAGGTCAAAATCATACTTTGTATTTTTTAAAGACCTCAATTTACTTGAACAATACAATTTTGAAATTCAAACTTGCATAGATCTTTACAAAAGTAATACCGGCAATTGAATATTTGAATAGAAAATATTACTATGAAATCCCAAATATGTTGAGTAAGATAATTTTTTGTGATGGGTCATTTTTAAATTCATGCATTACTTTCATAATTATTGTGTAATACCCAACTGACCTTCCATTGCAGGTGACATTGACAGTCTCTTTGTTGCCGACTTGTACCGAAGACGATCGACTTTTAATTGTTAAATTTGTAATGGCATCTGGAAAGGAAGAAGGAAGTAAATGGAATTCTGTGGCTAGTTCAGGATGTTAGGGTAATGATATGTGAGTCATGGTATCGGTAAGCAAGACATAGACAGCTTTGCTTTAAAAAGGCTCATCATATTTATCAATTTACTATTGCAGACCTGCCAACCTCTGGAGTTCAAAAACTGTATTCTTTAATCCCAAAAGTTGTATTTTACTGACAAAAAATTGTATTAAAAAAAAAATATGGATCAATGCCTCTTACAGTTCCTACATACAGGAAGAATTTTTTTGTATGGATCATTGGTTGAATATGCATGATTTCGTCACGACTGGCGTGTTCGATGAACCAATGAACATCCCAAAATTACTGATGTGAGATGCATGTAGGATACTTTACGGGACAGAATGGGCATTTTGCCATTGAAACTGGCCAACACACACACATACAAACTACAAATGTTGGAAATCGATTTCATTGATGAAATCGAACTGTCCTATTTACTTCTAAAAATCGTACGAAATACGATTAAATCGTACATGTTTGCAGTTCTGCTATTGCTACAGTATGCCTTTATCTAGATAAATAAACAAATGTCAACCCCCCCCCCCCTCTCTCTCTTCACCCCTCCCTTCCTCCCTGAAGGTGAATGGGTTACTCAATCGGTGGATTACATCAATTAAACAACAACAAAATTCTATTCCTATCTGAAGGACAAGGTAATCATTAATCCATGAGCAACAACTTTGTGTGAAGACTAGGACCCTTGAGTTTTAAGATATGACTTCTTCATATGAGACACTCATCAATACGTTGTGCTATGGAGGGAAATGGGCCATTCCATGAGAAGGACATGACATCAAAAAAAGAAATGTACCTCTTATGTTAATTCTTTGATTTATCACTAACCTTATGCCATGGATGTTCATAAAACATTAGGGCCTTTCAAATTCAATACAATTTTTTTCTCAAACTATCATCAAAAACATACATGTGGGACTGTAGCTGAAAAAAAAAAATTTATTGCAGATTACACAGGATTCTTGTAATATTTTTTCCTGAAAATTTCGCTGAATGGAAAAAGATGAATATATTTCCATATTCTAAGGGGTCCTGTGATATTTAATCTATTACATAGGGGTGAAAATGGCCTCCGGAAAAAATGTAACGCGAGTTACCGTAACGCGAGTTACCGACATATTTGCTTCCTGCATTTTACTAGTCCATTGTTTCTTATCTTTAATATTGTGATCTTATACTAGTAAGTCACAACCTACTATCAAATTAAAGTAGGAAAGATTTTGTCAAGATTGTCTAGTATGAGGAGAAAAGAGGGTCTTGTAGAATTGACCATGTCCTTTTTTTGTAACGCGAGTTACCGAAATTCAATAATCCAAGAATCTAAAAATGTTTGTTCTTCAATTTTCTTTTTTGTTTCATTCAGTTGTTCTATATCTACCCTGTCCATGTTTGAAAAAAGTATCTTGTAGATCCTAGCAGTTCTAAAGATATAGGCACATTATCGTGTCAATGTACCCATTAAGTGTAACGCGAGTTACCATGGAATGGCCCAAATCAACAATGCGTTCACAAAGGCAAGACCAAGAAAATCAAGTACCAAGTTAAATTGTTAAAAGCTTCTTTGTCCTCATGCTTTCCATAAATGCACTTGGCAGACAGAAGAAAAGAAGGGTTATTTTTTTTTTTCTCCAATTTTTTGAATTGGTTTGCTTGACAATTTCAGAAGTAAATTTCAAGCATTTTATAACTGATTTCTGGGCCCTGCTTACAAAGAGTCGATATCAATCGCAACTATGTACATAAGAGATAGGAGCAGGACTGCAAACTTGTGGTTGATTGGAGGACTTGTGATTGATTTGGATCAATCGCAACTCTTTGTAAGACGGGGCCCTGATGTTCCAAGTTTCCCTTGAATATGGTACCTTTAACTACAATTGATTGGAAATATTCTGCAATGGCAAAGGAGCAGTTATTCTCACCTAAAACCCTTATAGTTCTCCACCAGACACCGACCATCTTCCTCTCCTCCTTGATGGCTGTGATGTTCACTGTGATGTTATAATCTCCCTTCTTGGGGTAGCTGTAGGTCAACTCAGGCTAAATGAGAGCAAGAGATGGAGAGAGAGAGAGAGAGAGCGAGAGAAGGGGGAGGGAAAGGGAGAGGGAAAGGGAGAGGGACAGGGAGAGGGAAAGGAAGAGGGACAGGGAGAGAGAAAGGGGAGGAAGGGGAGGAGGAGAGAGAGAGAGAGAGAGAATTCCCAGTAGTAACATGAAATTCAACTTGAACAATGCTTGTTTGCAGGGCTTGATACATAGAACTATTCCCCCTCCCTCCCCCCCCCCAAAAAAAAAAATAACAATAATAATATAAATAATACAAAAAATATATAAGTTGCTCTTGGTTAAGGAGAAATATCAAAATCTAAGCAGACCTTAACATGTGGGGGAAAATCAGAAATCAACCAACTAATAAAGTTACCCATTTCTTAATAATGTATAGATCGCTATATGTGTTGGAACTACTAGTTGGAACAAGTGGGAAAGTTATCCACCACTTCTTTAGAGAGACATTAACGATTTAACTTTTACCAATTCATAACTTTCTCATTTTTTGTCCGATTTCATTCAAACTTTCACCAGTCTTCTTCTCTGAGTTTTCTTCTTTCCTCTAGTACTGTAGTTTAGGATGCTTTCAAGGTTGGCTTTCACCTTAAACCTTAATGAGGCCGGGGGCATAATGGCCACCTCTCCGTGATTTTTCTGATTGTTCGGGAACATGTACGGATGACGCCACGGCACTCGCAGACTTTTTTCTTTCCAGTCTTGCGCACCTTTTAAAACATTTTTTTGAAAATCGGACGTACAGTTTAATACAAAGTCACATGACCTTTTGTCTTTGCATGTCAGCCTGAAAGTCGCTCATTTTCGTGATGTGTGTACAAACATTTTTTCCTAAAAAGTGATAAAACATATTTGGTCTTGTTTAAAGTTTAGGTGTTTGTTTCAGGGGTCAAAATCTTAATCTACAACCCATCTTGCGTACGAATAGATGAGCATGTCACAGCTTTCTCTCTCAATACGTTATGACTACTGGGTAGAGGCACACTTACATGTATTTAAGTGGTTTTTTTTAGCATTCATCAGTGTAAACCGCAAGAATGAACGAGAAGATATTTGACATAAAAATAGAGGCTAAAGGAAAAAAGTGCACAAAAAACAATGAGCTTATAGTTTGTTTAAATACTAAATGGCAGGTAATATGCATTGTTTCCAAGCTAGCACATTTCTTGTCCACTATAAGTATAGAGCTGTGGCTTCACTTACCAATGATGACTGTATGATCATCCCATTACCCATGTTCCATTTGTAGAGAAGAACGGCCTCCTCAAAGAAATAGCTAGGGTCATGGAGATCTGCTTCCATGGTCAGCTTTGTTTTGGTAGGTATACTACAGGAAGGGTTGCTCATATTGCACTGTGGATAAGCACTGGAACTCAATGAGATGTTACCATTGATGGTGTCTGTAAAGGAGATTAAAAGTGGAAAAAATAATGATTGGTTGATTATACATACCTTTATACAATAGCAAGTTTGTATTTTTCATTTTTAAATTTCATCATCAATTTTGAGGTTAAAGATGATTATCAGAGGGAAAAAATCACACACACACAAAATATTTTGTTCTGTATGTTCAGGGTTCCATATTCGTACACATGCACAATATTAGTTCAAATATACTTCTTTAAAGTTAAAGACAAAGTCGAGTTCTGGTCATGCAATTGCATTGTGAGAAAAAAGTGTGGAATTGATTAGAAAAGGTTGATCATCTAGCATATAAGTATTAGTGTGTACTTCAAGGTTCTGGTATCATCAAAATGATAAGAAATTTGGCCCAGTCTTGGTAAATTTACAAGCACTGTACACAGAAAGATGTATATGGGACTACACTAACGTGTGGCATAAAAATTGTATGCCATATTCAAAATATTAAGGCATTTGAAGAGCCATGCTTTTCAGGGAACATTTTTAAACTGACACAAATTAGACCTTCAATAAGCTCCATAAAGATCATGTACATGTACGTCACGACCAAAACTTACTTTTCCTTTCAGAATGGAGGAATTTATATGATACTGTTGTATAAGCCAGGGTAATTATGCTGCATTATTGTAGAGCGCTTAGAGACTTCTGACAAAGTAAGTGTTAGGCGCTATATAAGCACTGTAATTATTATTATTATTATTAAGTCTTAGACTACTGGTAAATGTATCTCATTTTATAAGACCCATATCACAGGTAATCACCCTACAAACTTAATTTGGGCCTTCAAATATTTGACCTTCAATAAGCTCTATAAAGATGTACATGTACGTCATGCCCAAAAACTTACTTTTCCTTTCGGAATGGAGGAATTTATATGATACTGTCGTCATGTATATTTCATTAAGACTACCGGTACTGGTAAATGTATCTCATTTTAAAGTCCTACATGTATCACAGGTTATCACCTACAAATCTAGTAAATATTGACTCTCTGTACATGTACCTCTACAGACAAAAATGCACAATCTTGTCAAAGAAACTTATATGGGTTCAATATTCAATAAACTTTTGGTTTAAATATTCTTGAAGTCTTGAACTGAAAGTACATGTCTGTACGCAGACCAAATACAATTCCATGTCAGCTTTAAGTACAACAAATGTCTAAATGGGTGAGAATTTATTAGTCAATTACACCCTGTACATGTATGTAAATGCGAAATGAAACTAAACTCTTTGCAAATTAATTAAGTACAGTTTACTGTTTACCTTCAGGAGGTCATTCAATAAAATTAGTTTCCTATATTTGACTCGAGTAAAATACTGGAATAAAGTTGAGAATCAAAACTTAAAGAAAACACAATGGTATGGATGAACGTCAATTACCACAGGAAGGATATTTACCTTTCGTTTCATACTATGGACGAGTTTTTAAGAGAAGAGGGAGGGGTGTTAATTTGATGATTTGATAATTGACTAACAGTGAGAAAGTCAGATAGAGATACAGGATAAAGGAAAGCATACATTTACATACTCCTCCCTGAATAATCAAATAATCTGACAAAACCCCACATTTAAAGATAAACTTGAGTTCTGGTTAAAAAAAGAAAATCAATTCTCACAGAATCTAACAAAACTTACACTGAATGTTCAAGATTACAAATAAATGTCATGTGCCAAACAATTTTGGAAGAAAATGTATACTGGCTGAGAAATGAGCATAGAGGGGGAGTGGCTGTATATATTCACAGTTCCTTGTCATTTGATTTGATTAAATATGATACTTTGTTTTCTTCATTAGAAATAATTCCTGTAATGATTCAACCTAAATGTTCTACACCTTTAATTTTCCTCACGTGGTACCGACCTCCCAATAGTAACATTGAGACTTTACAATACTATGAAGAGATGCTATCATTTCTTGACAGTTTTAACTATCCCATTATTGTTATGAGTGACACAAACTGTGATTTATTGAATGTTCCATTGTCTGCAAATTCAAAACGTCTTAATGAAATCCATAATGTATATTCACTAGAACAGATAAATACTGAAATTCCTACCAGGATAACATCCGATTCATCAACCCTTATTGACCACACTCTAACAAATAAAAAAGAGAAGGTTTTTAGTCATGGTGTTATACACCTAGGTATCAGTGATCATTCTTTGAGTTATATCATTTGGAAATCAAAACACAGTGGAAATCCTCAAACTGTAAATTTTAGGAAAAAATCAGGAATTGATCTGAACTCATACTTCGAAAGTTTAAAAAATCAGCCTTGGTTTGAAGTTTTAGATATTGATGATATTGACTTGGCTATCAGCAAATGGGAGAGTTTATTCATGAATGTCCTTAATCGGTATATGCCAGTCAAAAAGAAAAGAATGAAGATTAGAAAATCTCCTTGGATGAACTCAGATATTTTTAATCTCATTAAAAAGAGAAATAAATTAAAAGAAAAGGCATGGAAAGCTAAAGATGAACAAAAAATGAAAGATTATAGAAAATTGAGAAATAAAGTGACTTTTGACATTCGAAAAGCCAAGAAAAAATATTACACTGATCAACTGACAAAAATTCAAACCAATGCTGGAAATACTTGGTCTGTATTGAAGTCATTATTACCCTCGAACAATTCAATGAAATCAACCTTTTCTAATGAAGAACATTTACATCAAAGAAGTGAACAATTCAATGATTATTTCGCAAATGTTGGCAAGGTTTTAGCTTCCAAAATACCCGAAGCAAGTGATTCAGTTATTTTTGACGATCATACAGATTCTTGTTTCAATTTCCAAATGATCACAGTGGAGGAAGTTCAAAAAGAGATCAAACTTATGAAAAACAAGTCTGCTTGTGGTACTGATGGTATTTCTATAGGGTTGTTGAAAATGTCAGCTCCAATTATTGCCCCTTATCTTACTTATTTATTCAATAAATCACTGCTTGACTCTAAATTTCCAAACCAGTATAAGACAGCCAAAGTGATTCCAATATTTAAATCAGGAAATAAAGAAGATCCATGTAATTACAGACCTATATCCATTTTGCCGACTGTTTCTAAAATTCTAGAAAAACTTGTTTGTAAACAACTGAAATTATACATGAATGAACATGAGATTTTGAGCCGACAGCAGTCTGGTTTTCGAAAGATGCATTCAACTATGTCTTCTCTATTGAAGGTTACCGATGAATGGTTAGAATCCATGGACAAAGGTTTATACACTGGAGCGGTTTTCATTGACCTTAAAAAGGCTTTTGATACTGTTGACGTAAATATTCTTTTAAACAAACTCGAGTCATTGGGAGTTACTGACAACGTGTTACACTGGTTTCGTACTTATTTATGCAACCGTCAAATTTTTACTTGTTTGAACTCTACTTCTTCAAACATTTTAGATGTCGATTATGGAATTCCTCAAGGGTCAACCCTCGGGCCGCTGCTTTTTACGATTTATATAAATGATTTGGTTAACAGAGTAAAACATTGTAACATTCATCTTTATGCAGATGACACTGTGCTATATTTTTCCGATAAAAATGTCTGTAATATTCAAAGAATCCTAAATATCGATTTAAACAATGTTCACAATTGGCTATGTCAGAACAAACTTAGCCTTAATGTTGAGAAAACTATTAGCATGTTATTTGGATCAAGTTATATGTTATCAAAATATAATATTTTTAATGTTCAAATTTCTGGCAAAGCTATTACACAGAAAAACGTGGTTAAATACCTTGGTATGCAGCTCGATCCTCGTTTAAAATGGGATATTCATATTGATGAAATGTGTAAGAAAATTGGAAAAACAGTTAACTATCTTGCCCGACTCCGCCATTGTTTACCTCAAACTCAATTAAAGTTAGTTTACAATTCAATAATTTTACCCCTGTTTGATTATGCTGATATTGTTTATGATTCCGCTAGCAAGAAACATGTTGACCGACTCCAAAAATTACAAAATAGAGCAGGTCGAATCATTTTAAGTGTAAACCTCTATGATCATATTTCTAACAACGAAATTCACGGAAGATTGGGGTGGTCCTTATTACAATCTAGACGAAAGTCACACCTGCTCACGATGGTGTACAAATCATTACACAATCTTGCCCCTTCTTATTTGAAGGATCGTTTTAATTATAATAATTATTTATACGGGTTGAGATCCCGGGGAAATTTAGCTCTACCCAAACCGAAATCCGAGAGCTGTCGGAGAATGTTTTTATATAGAGGCTCGCGAGAATTTAACCGCTTACCTAACAATATTAAACTCTCCAACAGCTTAAGTGTTTTTTGCAAAGAACTATCTGCCATTCATTGATCTTGCCTAGACTTTCAGTGGTATTATGCCTTGCCAGAAGTTACACTTAGCTGTGGGGGGGGGGGGGGGGGGGGCGGGGGGGACACATTACTAGTAATTAGGGTAGACATGTATTTAAGTTCTACTTGTGTATGTAAACATAATTGTGTAAATCAAGCTGCTGTTTGAAACTATTGATGCTTTTTCTTTCGTGTAGCCCGAAAGTGTATGGTATTTTTGCCTCGTCTTTCTTTCTACTGCACGATGGCTGAATGCTCAAATTTGTGGGTTTGTTTTGCTTGGTACGCGGCAATACACCGTTTTCCTCTTGTGGTCAAGTTTACTCATGCCTGCCCTAGGACAAGCTATGTAATCACCTGATAGCGAGCGGCCGCATCACAATGGTCGGAATGCGAATTGCATTCATTTGGGCAATTCCACGGTAACGGATTACATTTCAGAGAAATTTGGGCTCTATTTTGATATACTGTAGACAGGTGGTTAGACCTAGGTGATTATTTATCTTTTTATTCTTTCTGTATTATGCACCTGTTAGCAAATCAAATTAAAAAAAATTATTTTTCAACATTCGGAACACCCCAGGACCAAAAGTGTGTCGGTAACGGAATTACGGCAGAAAAATCAGGTTATTTTTACACTAACTTTGAAAAGATTT